ATTGAGCTTCATCCAAAAGTGCTGGGTGGGAAATTTTATGAATTCGAATCTGGTAAAAACGAATATGATTACGTATCTCCGCTAGCCAGAAGGTACACAGATCCATCAAATGGAAAGAAATTGAACGTTAAAATTTATCCTGAAACTGGTACGTGTGTTTTTAAACCTTGGGTAGCGCGGTTGGTACCCACCTTTATATGTCCACTTGTAAACATATCTCTAAGTGAGTATAATGTAACAGGTCAAACTAATATATTATGCCTTGATACTCCAAAAATATGTTTTAAGCCAGAAGAATTTATCTTCTCTGACAATAATCTATCAGTTCTGATTTGCGCAGACAGCTATTTTGCATCTCTTGAACCAGAATATAAAAGTGCAAATGAAGAGGATTTAGGTAAAGTCTTAGTGTCTATCGTGTGTTCATGCTTGTCGATATTATGTCTTATCATAACTATGGTCACGTACATGTTATTTCCGGTTTTAAGGACAATTCCTGGACTTTACACAATGGCTTTGTGCGTAACACTGATAGTCGCGCATGCTCTGTTAACCTTTGGAGCAGGTGCGGTCCAGATAGGTTTCTTGTGTGAAGTACTGGGAATAATAATACATTTGACAATGTTAGCAAGTGTATTTCTAATGAACGTATGTTCAATACACATGTTCCGGGTATTTAATCATTTAGACAGGCAATTCGTTTTGACGGAAGAAGAAAAAAGACGACATTTCCTTATATCTCTAGTTTACAGTTATGGCAGCAGTACAATATTCGTGATAGGTCGAATTGTATATAGCGTGGTTACTACGGGCACGTCCGGATACGGAATCCGGGTTTGTTTTATTAACAACCCTATTGCTCTATTGTTTACTTTCACGTTACCGGTCATGTTACTTGTTATTGCAAATATTGTCATGTTTTGCATTGTAATAGTAAAAGTGAGTCAGCTTCCGGATATGTCTAGGTCTTCAACCTGTCGACATCATCAGAAACGTTTTGTTATTTACATAAAGCTTTCAAGTCTGACAGGATTGGCTTGGCTCTTTGGATTTATTGCTGAAATATCTCACTCGGATATCTTCGTATATCTTTATATTATTTTGATAGCCGGACAAGGCGTGTTTATCATGCTCTCGTTTGTATGTAATAAAAGGGTTTACAAACTATACAGCACATACAGGAAACATGTATCTGGTCATTCAACTTCGAGTTGTCATACAATCTTAGATAATACTTTATCAAATACTTCTGAAAAGACTCATGCTGAAGCAAAAACAAAGTCGGCTGATATTGATCACGAGAATAGCAACCTTCACCCTACTTATGAGGACAAAAGCTATCACGAATTCAGTACGAAACTCTGAATTGATATCTGGATTATTGTATAACATATTAAATGCATATTTTCATTGATTTTGCAAAAACTGTTGGCTAAACATATTTTCGTAACAACCTTTAGAAAAACCTTTATCCATCATTGCGCTAGGGTGCAGCGGTTGAATCTTGGCATTTAGAAAAAAATCCTGAAATCTGTACATATCTAAGTCTTAATGTCGACCTATTGTAATGTCTTTTGCGACCAACTCGTAGTAAAGTTGTTTGTATATCGTATGACCATCTATGTAAGCATTTCATATCCTAACATGTAACTAGTTTAATATATGATTTAATATTTGTGTTTGTGATACCAAAGTCCTTTAGGAAGTGCAACCTATTTGTGAAGCTTCTAGGGGAACCCATTTAGACCGTTGTAAAATGATGTTTTACGAAACTAGCTTATAATGCATGCACTGTAGCATTCAAGAGGGTCCTTTCACGCACAACTATTTGATATGTCGTAATTGTATGTTATATTATATGGTACATACAATTTATATATATCTTTGATATAGTAGAAACTTGTTCCATACAATTTGCCTTCACTATCCGTTCTAAGACAGGGTTTTCATATTGATAGAGACTTTGGAAAGTATCTAATTGCTTTTAATTCGAGTGTCATATATCTGTGAATATCTGTCACAAAGATTTGTACCTGGAAAGAAATAGTTGATAGATACATGTATTATGTTTCGTAATTTAAATGAATATGCATCATTATTGAATAAAGCACTATACACGAGTTATATTTTGTTTGCAGTTGCTACCATGTTTGGTATATTTGCAATCACTTTGTATTTATGTGGTTTTTAAAGTAATCTTAAGATTTTGATAGAAGCCACATGGTGGCTTAATCAGTATAATAAATATAATGCCACCCTTTGGGTGGCCATTTCACTCACATTTCTTATTTGAGTTATTCTTGTTATGAGTGGAGAGGAATAAAAGGCAGCTAAGCAATTAGCTTAATTTATGCTCATAACACCATAACAAGTTTAAAAAATGTATCTAAACTGCTATTAATTTGTGAGGGTTATTATAAGTTAGCAACATTAATATTACAATATTATGGAACAAGACACCTTAATAGTTTCTGAAAATATTGCAGGTTATTGATTGGCTGCTGATGACGTATATCGGGATGCTGGCCACTCCACTAGCTAAAGTTTTTAGTTATATTTTGATTGTAAGATGTATATATAATTTGTAACCTGGCAGGTTGTTGCTAGTTTACGTTGAGGTGAGACAATACTTGCCGACTGGTCAGAGCATTGGGTAAATCTACCTCCCCTAATTAACAGGGTTAGGGCAGCCGGCACGCAGTAAATAATGTAAAGATGGGTTTGGCAACCTCACCTCAGACGTTTTTTTGGCAACCCCACTTAGGCTAGCTAATGTTTTAAGTTATATTTTGATCATAGTTTCTACCATGTTTGGTATATTTGCAACCACTTTGTATTTATGTGTTTTTAAAGTAATCTTTAGTTTTTGATAGAAGCCACGTGGTGGCTTAATCAGTATAATAAATATATAATGTCACCCTTTGGGTGCCCATTTCACTCACATTTCTTGTTTGAGTTATTCTTGTTATGAGTGGCATAACGCACTATACACGACAATCATGTTGTAATTTACACTACATACTATATGTAAATTTAGGATAAATAGTAAAATCTGTATGCGTTTATATGTTATATTATTGATATAACTGGCATTTACAAGTACTGATGAGACACCAATCCAGAAAAGTATGGACATTTCCTATTATCTCCTATCATGTGGTACCTTTCCTGATGTCTCCCATCACAACATGTGGTTCTTTTTTCTGATGTCTCTCGGCACCACATTTGGTACCCTTTATAACATCTCATGTGGCACCTTTCGTTACATTTCTCGTCATCACATGTGGTACCCTTCATAATATCTCCCGACACACAATGTGGTACTCTTCATGACATTTCCGAACCACATCCAGTAACTATCGGTCACAAACCATCTGAGACGTTAATTGAACACTTTTGTAAACACAGGAACATCGTGGTTGTAAATAGTGTCCTAATGAATGAAAAAACGTATATGTATTAATGTTAATTTTATGATTCATGTACAAAATATCTTGGGCATGTAATTTCAAATCCTGTGATTTGCATCATGGGTAACTGGATGTTATCGATTTTTTCCTCCTTGTCATGGTATTTTCCATTGGATGCAGAAATCGTTAGAGAACGTCCATCGCTGCATTGACGTAACATCTGATGTGTTTACTTTCTCTTTACAGTGTTATGTTAGTATTCGTTCTCCAAATCCAGACTATGATTTCGAACATGGTAATTTAATTTAACATCAAGTTGTTTTTCACAATATCGAACATGCAACACAAACATTCGAATATTAATAACTGGTATTGAACATACAATGTATAACATTTCATAAACAATATACAACGGAAGTTTTTTTTTTCAAATATGAATCACAGGATTCAGAATACAAATCATGATATTTCGATTATGATTTACAACACTAACACAATGTTGCCAATATCAAACACAACTTTTTGATGATATAAATAAACATGTTTCAGGCATAAATACAAACTGTTGACATATTGCAACGTTTGATAGATCGTAATCAACAAACAAGTGAGTGTTTATATTATTCACATTCATGCATGTTCACCTGACCCTCTAGGACAACCTATTGATCATTGTACCGTCAATGCTGATAAGCGTTCCATACATATTCACATGGATTATTGATGTAGATATTTACTGAGAGTAACGATACCAGGCTTTAGTAACAGTAACGCGCTTCTAATCTACTCCTCTTCACAGAAATAATATTGATATTTTCTATCATACTTATGATCTCAATATATATTAATTGTTGATACTTTTGTCATTTCGATGATGAACTCTGGAAGTGAAGGTCAACAAACGTCTAATATATAGGTCTACAATTCATACTCTATCCATTTGATTGAAATACGGTTACACAAGTCTTCTTTCCAGAATTAGATGCCAAGATCTCACAGAATTGTAAGTTTTTTGTTTTGTACGGAACTGTCTCGTTATACAATACTTTTGATATTGAACTAAATCGTATATGGTTGCCATGCAATAGAGTCATTAAGGTTAATCTCAAGAATTTTGTACATTTCAAATAAACAAAAATTATGTTATATATTTTATCTTCATTTCATTTTGATTAAGATGAAAACAATATGAAATATGTGTTTCGTGTTATTTAGTATTAATAAGGACAATTACCGTAACAGTACAAAACGACTTGAATAAGATTTACGAAAAATCTTTGCACATCTTAAACGGTTAACAACTTTCTTAGAAATTTGATTCATTGAGTTAACAATGTTCATAACCTACAATAGTTTTAAGGAGGGACTTCTTTGCTTCTCTTAACGTTTTATACAATTCATCTTTTTTTTTTTTTTTTTTGTGACATTGACAAGTTCGTACATTTTCAGAAGAAAAAAATGGCTATATTTCTGGATAAGGTATTGATGCTGATAATTGTAGAAGGTTTGGTTCAGCCTAGCCAGTTCCTAACGTCAACTTATAATTCAGTGAACAACACTTTGGAATTGGATCGAAGTAGAGTTCTGAATATGACAGAACATATACAGAATGAAGCTGACAGGGCTTTGATCATAGAACAGTTGGTATATTGTTCATCCCAAAGCCTGTGTAGCGTAAGAAAGGTCAATGAAAGGTCAAACAATTCCAGTTGTTGTGCACCATGTTCCCGTGAAAACACCTGCACACTATCGGGTTGTTGTTGTATAGATAAGGCACTAGCAGAAAACAGTTTAGACATTCTGTTAAGAAAGGGAAGCTCTTGTGTCTTACCGCAGCTTAAACCTTTTGAGGAAAATGGGCTTAACACAGATGATCGTTTCCTCATGATAGGCTTTTGTCACAACGAGTTTATAGGTAGTAGCATAATAAAAAAATGCCAAATCGGACAAAGCTTTACCAACGGTACCAACGTGAAGGATTATCTTCCAGTTTCTTCAGCACTAACCAACGAGACATATCGTAATAGGCATTGCGCGTATTGTAATTTTGGGCATGATACTTACTTAAAGTATTGGGGAACAAGTTTTAGCTACCAGGAAAGTCTGTTTGTGTTCCCACAAAAAGCAAAGGAGCTGCTTAGATTCATTATTGAGGAACAGAACTGTAATTTATTTTACTACCCTCCGCCTGATTTGATGTCATTTCCCTGTCGAGATGAAACTCATATGATTACTGAGTGTAATGTCACTGGTGTTTGGACGGAACACGACAGTACCATAGATTGGGCTTGTTCACGCTATCAAAATGAATACGTAGCCAATTTTGTGTACTATAAAAACTTATTCTGCTATATTTGTAATGCTAATTCATCATCACCACCACCATACTTTGATGGGCCGGGAGGAGGATCAGGCGGTTCCTCAGGTATGACATCCTTTACAGCATTATTCAATTTCATCGAAGATACCCCGACAGAACAATCACAGAATACAACCCATTTCTGTCCAACGGATTTTCGTTTTGATACGCACAAGGTAATTAAATGTTAACTTATAATCATTATGATATAACCATTGATATAATAATCATTATGATATAACCATTGTGATATAATCATTGTGATATAATCATTATGACATAATCATTGTGATATAATCATTGTGATATAATCATTGTGATATAATCATTATGGTATAATCATTGTGGTATAATCAATATAATATAATCATTATGATATAATCATAGTGATATAATCATTGTGATATAATTATTATGATATAATCATTGTGATATAATCATGGTGATATAATCATTATGATATAATCATTGCGATATAATCATTGTGATATAATCCTTATAATCATTAGGATATAATCATTGTGATATAATCATTATAATCATTGTGATATAATCATTATGATATAATCATTGTGATATAATCATTGTGATATAATCATTATGATATAATCATTTTGATATAATCATTGTGATATAATCATTATGATATAATCATTGTGATATAATCATTATGATATAATCATTATGATATAATCATTGTGATATAATCATTGTGATATAATCTTTATGATATAATCATTGTGATATAATCATTGTGATATAATCATTATGATATAATCATTGTAATAATTGTGATATAATCATTGTGATATAATCATTGTGATATAATCATTGTGATATGATCATTGTGATATAATCAATGTGATATAATCATTGTGATATAATCATTAGGATATAATCTTTATGATGTAATCATTATGATATAATCATTGTGATATAATCATTATGGTATAATCATTATGATATAATCATTATGATCATTGGGATATAATCATTATAATCATTGTGATATATTCATTGTGATATAAGCATTGTGATATAATTATTATAACCATTGTGATATAATCATCGTGATATAATCATTGTTATCATTCAAAAATGTTGCCATGAACTATCTGCCTGAAAACAATGCTTTGTTCTGTACTATTTTTCACATGTGTTTTCTTTATTCTCAAATGTGTCTTGCTTTTGTATAATCTCTATAATCAAAATAGAATACAAACTACAACTTCATANTATAATCATTGTGATATAATCATTATAATCATTGTGATATAATCATCGTGATATAATCATTTTTATCATTCAAAAATGTTGCCATGAACTATCTGCCTGAACACAATGCTTTGTTCTGTACTATTTTTCACATGTGTTTTCTTTATTCTCAAATGTGTCTTGCTTTTGTATAATCTATATAATCAAAATAGAATACAAACTACAACTTCATGAATATACAGAGAGGAAACCCAGAATTAAATCTTGAAAGAACATTATTAAAAAGGCACCTTTGCTCACTTGTTCAAGAAAAAATAAATGCATTAATAAAAATCACAGCAGTTTAGTTAATATATATAATCTGTTTCGCGGTAATTTTTGTCAAACTGTTTCAAACTCTCTTCTAACATCATACCGATATCATATTTTCATGTCGGTACTTCCTTCGTGCGAGCTAATTGACAGCTGATTATAGATGTTGCTATGTGAAATGTATTTCGAAAATAAATCCTTAACCATTGTGATCATATCTAGAATAGTTATACATACATAGTCACTGTGTGCAGTTATTAGATCAAAAGTTGCAATGACAACTTCCATTACAAAACAACCGGAACAAGTACGGAATACATTTTCCTCTGATAACACAGACGTTATGTATATTGCTTACAGCACTGACTAATTTTGACTCATAATATGCTTCCTTGTTCTAACCTATGTATCAAAAATAGGAACGTGTAAAATACTATTTCAAAACTCCATGAGCCAAAAGCAAAAAAAATGTCAATTGTTAAGGGGTAATTGAAGTAAGGCTGTAAAATAGTGGTGTTTGAACAAAAAACAGCCCTTTTAATGAATTTTCTTCTATTAATTTCATAAACGCTTATATTTTTATCAAATTGTATCACAGTGATGTTTTGAGGATTTATGCGTAGATTAACGCGTAAGATTAATATCGCGTTTTCTACACCAATTAATAAGTCGTTGAGGTTATTTGATTCAATTCACGACTGGTGTGATGTGAATGACGAATAATAATCTTAACTCACATTCTATATCCACAAGAACAGTAAAAAAAGGATATCATCTCTAGCAGAGCCAGTTACAATTGATTGGACAGTTCAATCATGTAAGAATTAGATTCAGTTATTAAAGTCATATCTCAACGGCTAGAAATTATTCTTTGCTGAGGTACAGTACAACTTTGTTTATGTTTTCAGAATATTTGCCGCGAGATCACGTGTTTAACACCGTTCAAATACAGAAATGGCGTTTGTGAAAATGCCTTCAGTCGTATAGCTTTCCAGAGATATGAAATGTTCTTGAGGTTCAATATGTTTTAAGGACACTTCCTGGACTTTACACAATGGCTTTGTGCGTAACACTGATAGTCGCGCATGCTCTGTTTACCTTTGGAGCAGGTGCGGTCAAGATCGGATTCGTGTGTGAAGTACTGGGAATGATAATACATTTGACAATGTTAGCAAGTGTATTTCTAATGAACGTATGTTCAATACTCATGTTCCGCGTTTTCAGTCATTTAGACAGGCCAGTCGTTTTGACAGAAGAAGAAAAAAGACGACATTTCCTTATATCTCTAGTTTACAGTTATGGCAGCAGTACAATATTCGTGATAGGTCGAATTGTATATAGCATGGTTACTACTGGCACGTCCGGATACGGAATCCGGGTTTGTTTTATTAACAACACTATTGCTCTATTGTTTACTTTCACGTTACCGGTCATGTTACTTGTTGTTGCAAATATTGTCATGTTTTGCATTTTAATAGTAAAGGTGAGTCAGCTTCCGGATATGTCTAGGTCTTCAACCTGTCGACATCATCAGAAACGGTTTTTTATTTACATAAAGCTTTCAAGTCTGACAGGAGTGGCTTGGCTCTTTGGATTTATTGCTGAAATATCTCACTCGGATATCTTTGTATATCTTTATATTTTTTTGATTGCCGGACAAGGCGTGTTTATCATGCTCTCGTTTGCATGTAATAAAAGGGTTTACAAACTATACAGCTCATACAGGAAACAGGTATCTGGTCAGTCAACTTCCAGATGTCATACAATCATGGATAATACTTTATCAAAAAGTCCTTATATTCAATCTAGAAAGCCTCATGCTGAAGCAATAACAACGTCAACGGAGATTCGATACGATAAGTACCATCCTACTGGTCAGGACAATATCTGTCACGAATCTAACACGAAACTCTGATTTGACTGGTTTTTACATTATTTAGACATAATAAATAACTGTTTACGTGAAATGTTGCATGAACAGACTGTCGTAGTGACTCTTGGAAAATTTCAACCTAGTTGTCAATCATTGTGCTTGTGTGAAGCGGTTGATTGCAAGCATTGAGGAAAACTTGCCAAGAACTTGTAAATACTTAAATTAGTTTGAATAAAAACAATGAATTGTAATAACCTTTATGACAGTTTCATTGCAATTACTGTATGTATTTAGATCGCTTACTGTCTGGTATCTATCTATCATTCTGACAAAAAAACTATAGTTTAACATTTCAATTGTGACGTCACAATAGATGTGACGTCATGTCCTTCATGTTGTCAATGAAAACTTGAGAGTGAAAGAAACCCAGTTCATATCAAAATATTTGTATCAATGCTTGGATGTAGTTTTTAAGATAGTCGATACAACCAGTCACGTATGTCTAGCAAAAAAGCCGCTCCATGAAATTGCTTTCGATATCTGATTTCAAACACAGTTTATCCACGATGACCTATTCCAAATATCCGTAGTGACTGTAAAAAACAATAAACAATAAGAGTGGTGGAGGAATAAACCACAAAAGATATGAGATCTTTTTTGTGAGCGCGTATGCTACATGTACAAAGTAATGGTCTTCAAAATAATGTAGGTGAAATTACTCTATTTTATATAGATATTGTGTTTTGTTATGCAGATTTCTTTATTGTATAAATCACTATGCATACTTAAAATAGCATCATATTGTAGTTTATTCTGCTAATCATATTTGCTTTAAATAAACTTCTTACTAGACTTGTAATAGGCACAACAGTCCTTGATTTTTGTTGAGAGTCATTTTCAAGGAATGAGGAGACACCAAGCCAAAGGTTCTGACACAATGAACACCAATCAAAACCCAGCTGAGAAACCAGGTGCTCCTGAAGGGTAAGTGTTTCTGTAAGCATGTGACAACTTTCAATTCAATTCATTTATTAACTTTCGGCCTTACGGCCCATCAGTACAAACATATCTATACAATGCATAATATACACAATAACACGGCTCACAGTGAGAGAGTGGAGTGAATAAATTAGATTCTTAACTTATTAGCTTCAAAAATATATTTACCAAGTTGACATAATTCCTTAGTATTGTTAACACACAATAATTGTATAAATTTAAACATGGATGGCTTTTTCCAGTAATACTTTTTAATAAGGCGACTTCTTAAGTTTTGGTAGGTTTTACATATCAGAATAAAATGGTATTCATCTTCGACTTCTGTAGCCGAATTACAGTTCGTACAATATCTCTGTTCTCGAATAACGTTGCGATATCTACCGGTCTCGATTGCTAATGAATGTGCAGACATTCGTAACTTTGTTAGACTAATTCTATAATTCTTAGGAATATATTTGGTTAAATAATACTGAATGGAAAAGTGGTCTACGATACACTTGTATAAAAAACACTTAGAGGAAGTCTCTAGTAAACCTCTTAAATGTTGTTGGCCTTGGTCAAAAATTCTTTGACGAATAAGCGGTAAAATTAATTTAACATTAGTCGACGATTGGCTTAACCATACATCACCAAAGCCCAAAGCAAATAATTCATTTTTTACATGGTGTACCCAGTTAAAGCAAGTACATGTAATCTGTTTTGATAAAAAAGAATATGCACAGTTCAGAATACAATTTTTCGAGTCGAGTAACTTAAACCAATACTTAATGATTCTGTATTTTCTGATACATTCTAAAGGCAAGCGACCAAGTTCGAAATATACCATTGCATTACATGTGGATTTTTTAACTTTGAGGAGTCTCTTACAGAAATTCAAGTGCACATTCTCAATGTCTATTCCTTTTATGGATCCCCATACTTCACATGCGTAACTTAATATGCTAATAACATATGTATCGAACAAATGTAACATGGTCTTAAAATTAAGACTAAGATTGGAGCATTTTGATAATAAAGCAAACATAGCTTTACGACCTTGGTCAGCTAATTGTTTCTGAATACTATTGAACTTATTGTTAAACTTAAATTGCACACCTAGGTATGTAAATTGATCAACACAACTAACCGTTTTGCCATTATAAAACCAAATTTCATTATTTCGAACTTTCCCGCCTTTTCGAAAAACCACAATTTTTGTCTTATCAATATTGACAGTTAATTTCCATTTCTCAGAATAACTAGCGAGATTATCCAACAGTTCCTGTAAACCCTCAACCGTCTCCGATAACAACACTAAATCGTCTGCGTATAGCATAAGAAATAAGCTTAATTCTCCAAAGGTATAATAGCTACTACAATTCGAGATAAAAAACGATTCAAAATCATTCACATACATGGAAAAAAGTATCGGAGACAGAATTTCCCCTTGCAATAATCCGATATCATTATCAAAAAAGTCTGATAAGCAGCCTTTGAATTTCACACAAGACCTAACATGATTATATATAGACTTGATGACTTGCAGCAGCTTCCCTCTTACTCCCAACTTCGATAACTTATACCACAAGTTGATCCTATCAACGTAGTCGAACGCCTTTCTAAAATCCACGAAACAACAATATAGACGTTTATTTTCACTAAAAGATTTTGTAATAACTGAATGCAGAGCGAAAACGGCATCAACAGTGCTAAGACCAGGACGAAAACCAAACTGTGCGTCAGTAATAATATCATAAGACTCCGACCATTTTACCAACCTCGTATTCAAAATTGATGTAAACAGTTTGCCTAGACAACTTACCAAACTAATACCTCTAAAATTGTTAGGGTCACTTTTATCTCCTTTCTTATGAACTGGCGTAATAACAGCTATAGACCATTCGGAGGGAAAACATCCAGAATTAAAAATGCCATTAAATAGTACACTCAAAACAGGCAATAGTACATTTTTACCAACTACGAAACATTCATTTAAAATTCCATCAAGTCCATGTGATTTACCCCGTTTCAGGTTACCTATCGCTTTAGCTATCTCATACACCGTAATAGGACAGTCTAATTCATCATAAATTGGAATAGAGTTATCATTGGAATTAAATTCACCTCTATTTTCTGTTACATCTGAATTATTAACATTCTCAGATGACAAAGTCTTAAAATGGTCGTACAAATTATCCATACTCATTTGAGGTCCAGCTGCTTTAGGCGACGAGAATCTCTTATAAAATTGTCTCGGATTATACTTTCTTAGTTGATCAAGCATATCACCTTCATATTTCATGTACATTCTTTTTTTCTTTGCTTCTGCTGCTTTGTACAATCTTTTCTTATTAATTAAATTGTTATGATTCTCTACAGACTTAGAACTATTAAACAAACTCAATGCATTTTTATAATTATTCCATACATGTTTCAAATCGGGGTCAAACCATGGTTTGTCCTCGGATATACCTGTATCATACCTAACTTGTTTATTTACCTGGTCTCGCCCCATTGCTCCCGCACGCTTGTCGTTCCTGTGTGTACTCGGTCGCGAGAGAAAGGGGTCCATTGCTCGAAGCAATACGTTTGAAAATCGCGTAACGCAATCATCCATATCATTTTGGGTAACATCTTCCGATAGTATAACCGACTCGTTAATATCGTTTTGATTCGTTGAGAGTACATCTAAAAAGCTTACCTTGCCTTCGTCATTCCATCGATAAGTAGGTCGCTCGTTACCTGTCGGTTCACACACGTGTGTATCATCATTATCGACCAATGAAAAACGCGTTCGTATTTGCACGTGCAGTGGGGCGTGGTCAGATAACACATTGAAATTGCCAACAATAAACTGTTTAACACAATACAATAAACATGGACTCGCAATCAAATAATCAATAACACTCATTCCATTATGGCCACAATATGTATAGTCATTTGAATACTTATTTAAATCTCTTCCGTTATAGATACGCAAACAACTCGCCTTACATAATTCTATAAGTCGGTTTCCAAAATGATTTACCACTGTGTCGGGGTTAACCCTATCAGTATAATAATCATCAGAGACATATGAAAACAAATCAGAAAGCTGACATTTAACACTGTCGTGAATAATATCATATTTTACATAATCACATACATTACTGGTACGACTGTTAAAATCTCCCAACAACATAATATCACCCTTTCGGGAATCTATACCATATTCCAATTCAAAAAATAAATCACAGTTATAGTGGTTATAGAATTGGGAATTGGAAGGTGGACTATAGACACATGCCAGGTACACATCATTTCCTTGACCAATAAGACTTTTATCAATTTTTAGCCAAACTATAGAGTCACATATAATTTCACAAACTGAAATATATTTAGTTAAATTTGATTTAATCATAATTAACATGCCACCTCCTTGGGAATGTGTAGTACGTTTTCTAGGTATTACATAGGTAGAGTAACCTTCAATATCAACTTGGTAGTCATTTGTTATCCAACATTCTGTCAAAAATACAAGATTATATGTTTTAATAAAATTTTGAAATTGTTTAGATTTTAATTTATTGTCCAATCCACCATTAATGTTCCATGACAGTACATTTAGAGTATTTGAAATACTCTCATTCTAAGCATGTGACAACTGCTACAGGGGCTACCGTCGTACCCAGTAAAGTATGTACTTTACCCACAGTACACAGTACAAGAAATAGTGAACACTTCGTTCATCAAAGTAGATATCTTCATGCCGGCATTTTCTCATTAAAACTCAGTTCATGATGACGACCGTATGACGTTCAGCGAGAACAGAGGCCGTTAGGGTAGAATACATAGATAAATACATCGTTTGTTGGTTAAAAGGACGCACCTATCTAGAGAAACCCAACTCTCAAAACAGGATCTGGAGTAGCGAATCAAATGTTATATGTGAACTTCTGATACGTAGATCAGAATCTAGTGTAGGGAATCACTGTGACATGTTAACTCAAAATACGTAGACCAGGTTTTGATATAGGGAATCAGTGTGACATGTTAACTTACAATACATACATCTAGCCCAAAGTGCGAATCAAATGCGTTATGTACATTCTTCATGATTAGAACAGGTGTAGTGTAGCAAAACAACTCTGAGGTACCCCCAAACACATCAAAAAGGTTTTGCATTTTGTCTTCGTATAAGTGTTATGTGAAACAACATAAATGTCAAAGCTTTCGACAGGATATTTCGAATGATGCAATGTGATAAAATGGTCGAGTAATAAGATTAAATACGAAAAATTGTAATAACCGTTCTGAAAAAAAATAAAAAATAAATATAAATAAAAAAAAATAAAAAAAAATAAAAAATAATAATAAGGGAACCGCAACACCATCATCGGACAATAAAGGAAAAGTTAATCTATATCAGAGAAAGACTTTGGTACTGTAGTGGACCAAAACTCGAGTTTTACAACGCATATCCAACAAGAAATATGTAAATTCGAAAGCATTGTACCTAATGTGGGTATCACAACGTGGTCATTTATATATATTTAACTAAAACAATGTTACAAATCGATTCAAAACGCTGGTCAGGACTCATCCATATTACAAGACAAGTGTTTGAAGTTAAAACAAAATCAAAGACATCTACAGGAGAGAAAACTTCCAAAGAAGATCGAAAAAGTATTGTTGATTCCGTGATTCAGAAATGTCAGCTACAGAGAGAGATTTTGCCACTTGGAACCTTTCTTCCCCGAGCCTGTAGACGAAAGTGGGGAGATATACCCAACAAAGTATTATTTTCGATGTCATGGGGTTATGATCACTAATACTGTACTATTTATTGACTTCCATTGATAGGTCGAATTCGTTTTGGCCAGCAACACTGAAGCTGTATAGGGCCCAAAAGCATCCGATGGAAGGTGTTTGCTTTCAATAGCTTTTCATGTCCAAAAATCAATGTCACTCTTACTATATATAGAAAAATGACTATAAAGCATTACTTTCTATACCATAAACATAAGTAAGTCGGCAACAACTGAAAGGTTGATCAGTATTGCTTCGCTCGCGATATCATGTTAAAAACTTCGATATGCATCCATTCATTGTAACACGGGGCCCGTATTGTACAGTAGTATTTATTTACGAGTAATAGAAAGCTTTGCACGCGTGTTAGGGTCTTAATTCGAATTTATAAAATATTAAACTACTTGATCATCACTGAACCTTTATATATGTTTGACCGCTAGTGGATGCGTTCTGTTCAGCTGTAAAGCAGTGGAAATTGAAAGATCAGAAGTATCCTTAAGGCAACATGTGAAGCTCTAAATGAAAGTACATTAATATCGAGAACAATCATTTTCATTATGAAGGATGGACATCGCTTTCTCTGACGAATAAGAAATATTTATTAATGAAACATTCCTGACTTAACAGGCCTGCTATGAACAGTTATTACACTGACGAATCAAAGACAATTTATATTTAAGAAATATTCTATACTTTACAGGCTTGCTGGCAATCTGATATGTGTTTACTATCGATAAGAAAACAAACAAGACAATTAGACAGGTAAATTGTATAGCATGATTTTAATATTTTCATTTCGGCCAGGAAATATATATATCAAATTTTAACAATGATGTACAGAGCTAAAAGATATACAGTTTTAATTACAACGAAGGTATTCAACATTTTGTATACAAGTCACACAAACAGTACATAATCGACATAATTCTATCACAGTCGCCATGTTATCACAGGGGAGCGCATCCGATACACTTATAATCAATATATAAGCTCCTTTTAAAATATTTGTTTGCAGCATTTATCAACAAAAGGAATTTGTAAAATAGAGCAATCTAATACATTTCGCTGTGCATAATGTTATTAAAAATCTTACGATATAAGAAATATTTAATAAAAAGTTTCCAAATACAATTCTTTGAAGAAAAATAAATTCTATTCTTCCCATTTTCACAAAGTTGGTTTTATCACTGTATTCTCCCCTAATCAGTATAGGTTTTCGCACTCCTGAAGCATTGGTTGAACATGTAATAAGTTGGTTAACATTTCAGTAATGTACAAATTGTAACAATCTAGACCTGATTTCATCTGTTAATACTCTAAATATGAGGGAACATAAAATACACAGGGCTGGTATTCTGTCTTTGCGTATTGCAGAGATATCTTCTCTTGGGAGCAGGTATTGATTGTTACGTCACTTGTTTGTGAGAATAACGTCATCATTTTTTGAGAAAACGACGTAATTTTCTCGCACAAATCAATGACATATCAATTAATACCTGCTCCCAAGAGAAGATAACTCTGCAATACGCAAAGACGGAAGTGTCGTGATTCGCTCCAATCGGTAGATGAAAACTTTTTAAACAAAAATCCATGCATGATATATACGTTTACGGGAGAATGGGTTCATAAACTTGTAATTTTTGTTTAAATCTCGAAGGTATTTTTTCAATTGCAAAAAAAACCAAATCAAGTGTTAATTCCTTTTTTGAAAATTCACTATAACTTGAGTAAGATAAACATGATCACTATAACCAACAATAGCGTGTTAAATTCTCTATATCTTAACCAGCTTAACCGTTTAAAAAAGCTGGTAGAATAAACTGTTATCGAATGACCAGATGTTTCGTCCACTTGTACTTTTTATTTTATTTTAATCATTATATATATAAAACAATAATATTGTAACAGAAACAATTCTACTGTCAACAGGCAATGAACAAGAACAAAGATTAATTAAAAAACAGTACGAGTTTACACCTCTTTGGGAATGTAAATATGATAGACTTAACAAAGACTGCTAAGAGGTTAGTACTCAATGTACATGTATGTAGGTCTAGTAAATCTAACAGGATTAGTCTATACCAACATAAGTATACTAAACAACTATGTCAAACGAGACGCAAGCATATTATGTGTTTCCAATGTGTGTCTTAAAATCAACCAATATAAAATGGTGTTTTTCAATGTGTGTCTTAAAATCAATCAATATAAAAAATGTCCCTTACAGCATGGTCATCAAAAAGATCATGAGATTAAGAATAAATACTAACAAGGTTTGACTAAAAACAATGCGAAAATTAAATCTTTCGCTTTGCATACATTACATTAGAGAAACAATGTTTCTTTTTCTTTTTCTTTGATAAATCACAATATGAATGACAATTAAAAATGGCAAGTATTGGTTAGCATCTGTAAATAACAGTCATAAATACTTGAAGCATCCTATAGTTTGTGATAATCTTCAATAAAAAGTTTGTGGTTCTTTTAAACTTTTTTGGTGGCTTTCTGGCTTCATTTAAACTCGTGACATAAATGTCACAAGTTCTGGACACAAGGGTTGGTGAAGTCATTTTTTTTTTTAAACGATCAATTAAATTGGTAAATAACTGATAGTTTTTAGGACAGAGAAGAGCTCCACACACAAAGAGATACAAATCAATAATCTAGGACACACATTATCAGGACATTAATGCAGGAATGGTGTACTACATGATAAAGAATTGGAACAGAGAAGTCGTATTGACTAGTAAAAGATAACCTAATCCTCCTATGAGGATTTTACGTGTATCACAATTGGTATAACCTCGTCTTTCTATCTATATATAGATACAACCTACTTTACTGTGTTAACAAACAGTTTTCAGTGGTATATGGGTGGTCAGCACTGTGTTTAGATTAACCAGGCATGTAGTCATGATTTCAACTAAATTCTTATGTGAAGATTACATGTTTATACTAATACATTTTTGTACATGTATTCTATTAGGTGAAAGTTGTTTTTTAACTCCAGGAAAAGAGTTTGTAGTCAGGAATCATGAAACCTAAAATTTGTTAACTTGATTCTACTGTGAAAATTATAAAAAAAAATCTTTCTGAAAATCGGTCTCTAACTGTAAGAATATAAGTAAATCCAATTCAATGAAGTTCACAATCTCATCCTAATCTCAACAAACAAGAAATATCACTAGAAAAGTTTCAACATTGCCCATAAATCTGTCGATTTCATAACTCACTCAGAACATACCTTCGATCTAGTGGCATCTCAAAATATCTTTACTTCAGCAGAGAAATATTACATAATATCACAAATGAAAGGAGTGAAAAAATGGCTATTTCACAAACAGGTCACTGACCGGGACTACACAATCATCTTGACTAGCTAAATTTTATCACAGACAGAATAAGTAACTATACAATCAAGATTGGTGTCTCAACATAGCACTATATAGATGACTGAATAAAATACCTGATAAAGATAAGAGAGAAGATGATGTTCATACCTGACATATAGAATTAATTTAATTATCTGATTAGGATATTTTTGCTTTAATTAGAAACTCTATCGGACAATTAAAAAAATGTTCTGGAAAAGGTTAAAATATGGACGGACTAAATAAATATAAAAGTGTAAAGTTTGAGACAGAATAAACAGCATTTGTTCATAATGGTCAAAATAAATAAACTACAAATTAACTAACAGAACAAACCTTACATGAAAGAGAATGTATGTTATGAATATGTAAATAATTAAATCAATAAATATATAATACATTATTTTGTCAAATCTAAATTTCAATTTACTTGAAATAAAAATATATAACGGCAATGACTTCCATTAGATACAGCATTGTCCGTATCCTGGATCCACAAGATGCCATTTTTTTTACTCTCCAAGTTACATTCATATTATATGATTAAAATATATCAGAGAATCTATATGGACAGGGAAGGACAAATAGAGATGTGATTTACCATAGTGTTTATTGCTTCAATGAAAGTTAATGGGAAAACATCTTCACTCCTTTGTCACTCATTACAAAAATAAATGTGGACAAGCCTTGTTAATCTGTCCCTAAGATGTGAATAACAAAATATACATTTTCGGAGCTTAAAATGCTTAAATAAACAGGTTCCTTAAACCTCAGATTAATCTTCCATGTGGTTTATTTCTGTTTCATTTGAAGTAAGCAGACTTTGGATAAGCTAAAGACAGGCTCCNCCCATTAAAAAAAAAAAAAAAAAAAAAAACAACATTGTCTTGTATTTCCATTTGAGAAAAGTGTTTGAGCTTTATTTATATGAAAAGACGTATGTAATTCTACATACCTAATTTAATATAAAGTTTTGACCAACAAGGCTGTCATGTGTTTTTAATTACATGTTATAATTAACGGCAAGCAGGTGATGGGAAGAAGAGGTAAGAGTGTGGGGCCACACAGACTTACAATTGCTCTATCACAGATGACATGCTGGTATCATACGACCAACCGAATTTAATGAGGATTTCTATAATATAACAAATTATTTCCATTTGTAATTAATCTAAAATCGTCATTAATATGTGTGCTGATGGAATTATCACTAGATTTATGATTACACATATAAGCAAGGGTCCCCAGGATATATCTTTAACAGCGTTGACACTTATTCACAACTAACGATATTCAAAGCAAAGAGATACGTTTCAAATCGTATAGCAAAGAGAAACGTTTCAAATCGTATATAGCCATATTATAAACCTGTGTTAAATTAGCTTAGAGATTTGCAGGAATGGTTAGCTTCATACATAAATGCCAGACCTCCTGGAGACCAATCTGTGAGTTTTACAATCATTTTAAGGGAATTTAGGTATAAATAAGGGAGGCTTTATTGGCGGTGTTTTCATAATTTTTCTAGTATGCTCTGTTTACCTGAACTCAGTAGTACAAACATGACTTACCAATATTTCATCAGAATTTCTTCACGTATTATACTACATAATATACGGTGACACTAGTCTACGGAATATGGTGGTCATGATACCTTATACAGGTACTTAAACATGTTCCTGATAGTATAATTACAATCACTAAATAGATATACTTTTCTATAAAATCAAGGTAGCACTTTAATTCGTTTGAGAAGTTTTGTTGGATGTCGGGGAAAATGAGACACACTTTTTACAGTCTTACTGGGAAATTTCATTTAGTTTTATAAAAAACTGTGTAAATGGGTTACATGTAAAACAACGCTTTAGTTAATAAATATCATCTAGTTAATTAATTAATATAATCTATTGCTATCTGTAAAATATTACAGGATCAACTACAGCTACACTTCTCTATGTCGAAGTCATACATAAACAATTGTATTGGATCAAATGAGTTTCAAACCTTATTAAAACAATGGTTTGCATTACAAAAACTCAAAACATTAACTTCAAATTCAAAAAAAATCCTCTTTTTCATGCAATAATATGATTTGTGTAATGTTTTCATTAAAAGTGTATCACAGCCTTCCCTTTGCTTTACCTCCATGTTAATTGAAATTCTTCAGATTTTGGTCACAAACTAACGTTTATATATATGCAATTTGACCACTGCTAGGTATCTTTAGTTGGACTCTGACTTTCATCCAAAATCTTTGTTTAAAACTGAAAGGGGTCCTGATTTGAAACTTGACCACTGGCCAGAGACCATTCACCTTTCATTGATAGCTTAACAACTGAACTGACCACCTTTAACATGACATGACCTCTGTTAAGGTCAAGGAGTGACAGTGATGACTACAAGGTCGATAACAATGTAATTTAACCCATTCACTCCTAAAGTCACATTTGAACCTTACCAAACCAAAGACTGGGCAAGTCCAGTTTAAATATGTAGGGGTGAATGAGTAAGATCTTTTAGTTACAGCTTGACGGAATTGAAGTGAAAGCTAGGGTTATGTTTCGGATCACAGATTCCATTTGCATGACTGAAAGGTATACAATATGGTGGTACAAGGTCCATAACAACCGTTGTTTGGTTGTTTATCCTCAGGACTGTTTACCACACTATCAGTGCATCTAGCAAGAAAACTGTCTGCAGTTATATTATGCCTGCATTTCCTTATATTTGAAAATTCTGAAATTTCGTTTGACCTTTTTTGAGCATGTCACCTTGTGTCACCAACTAGGATTACAATCAAACACAGCAGAAGATGTGCATTCTTCGGGGAAAAAAAATACATTGATGGTCCATGTAGACTAGCATTCCAAATGAAAAATCAATGCAGACCTATACCAGTAATATAGAATCTACTAGGTTGAATTTAACCATGGACTGATCTATACTACAGTCTCCGTTTTATCTTGTGCGTCACTCAATACTGTGACACTACAGATTATGTAAAATGTTGGAGACTTAGACCAAGGGCTTAGACACCTGAAGGTAAATATGTTCTATATCATCACCCTGTGCGACTGAATGCATTCATCTCTGATGTACTTCAAATCTGATGACGCTACTTGACCTTCGACCTGACTGTCATGACCCCATGGTCTGGGTTCGGGTCGTTGGGTAAAGTTTCGAGTACTTCTGACTCATGGTTTGCGTGTTAGGAGGAATGAGGGACAGTGATTTGTCTCTGGTAGAAATGGATTGCCTGAAATATAAACAACTCCACTGTCAACATTGTACAAATATCAAATCTAATCAACATCGAATAACAATCAAATCTATAGTCAACATTATGCAAATATCAAATCTAGTCAACATTGTGCAAATATCAAATCTAGTCAACATTGTACAAATATCAAATCTAATCAACATCGAATAACAATCAAATCTATAGTCAACATTGTACAAATATCAAATCTACAGTCAACATTGTACAAATATCAAATATACAGTCAACATTGTACAATAAAAAATGTATAGTCAACATTGTACAAATAACAACTAGATCTTCATTCAACATTGTACAAATGATGTACTGGTGTATAATGATGTGTTTCCCTGAAAAGCTGTGTCATTCATATAGACTGTAAATGCCATATCAACACAGTTCAATGCTTAAGTTACAACACTGCCTACAAAACGAACATTTTATGTTCTTTTCCCTTTTCCTTACCCAGTGGAAGAACGGTCGTCCACACTACCATGATGAGGAGTGCTGCTTTGAGAAGATTTGGCCTCGGCAGCAAACTGATATACAATAAGAAGGCAGTCCCGACAGAGCTGGACGATACGGCGACAGCAGTTTAGTTCCACCTCACAGATGTTCTCCGAACTCTTACTGAAGATGGTCTCCCAGCTGGTGGAATTGCTGTATGACAGAAACATATAGATATGTAACACAATTTATCAAAGACACAAACACAACACAGAGAAGAAAAGCTGTATCAGTATTACCATTAATATACAGTATGTTTAAATACCAGGTAACTTAAAAAAATCAATCATGCAAATGTTTTTTTGTAAAACACACTCCAACCAACATGAAATTTTGTTTTATAAAACATAAATGAAAATATGTTGTGTTGCTTGCCTATAATCACCGATGCTGTCAATATAACCTTCCTGCTCTATAATCTAAGAGCTAGGGCTGATAATTGAATCCCTACGACGAAATGTTTAGTGTGAATAAGGAAATTGTAATAAAATACTATTTTCACATATAACTCTTTGCTATTGTAAATTAACAAGCTACTCATAGTCTGAAAAACGCTTAACAAATCGGAACTCTTTTTCATTCGAGATACAGTACAATAAAGCACTTGAATTGTCTACCTAAAAAATCGTAATTTACTTCAAAGAAACTGGATGAAAACAGAGTTTCAGGTAACATGTGTTCCATTACCTGGATGAGGAGAAGCAGTTCCAGAGGCCTTGGCCGTGACTCCACAGTAAACGGTTGAACACCCTGTTGAAAATGCGGTACACCTTAAGACTGTCCACATCACTGACACGCCAGGTACGCAGGAGTACGGCCCGCACATTAGACCGCACGATATCTATCACCTGTAACGTACAATATCTTTGTATCTTAATATGTACCTTAAGCTATACGATCATCACATTTGTTAGTAGAGAATGTCAAGTCTACGTCCTAAAGTATAACTTTAAATAGTTCAATCAAAATCTTTTTTGCTTGAACATTTCTTTTAATATTTAGTTTGGGGTGTCCATTAAATACATCTAGTTACTCATTGATAAACGACATTATTACGCTTACATTTTAAAACAAGCAATTCAGGATGACTTCAACCCAAAATACATAAACATGAATCTAAAAGTGAGTATACAGATGATATTATCACCAATGGCTAAGCAACATAGAACCATTATTAAATATTCAAATTCCAAACACTTCATTTACAGATAGATGTCTTTGCAAACTTACACACCAACTCAAAAATGTCCTTTTGTTTAAAGATTCATATCAGAAATAAATGAGGAATTTTTTGCCCCGTCAAATTTTTGCCCTTCGACAGTAAAACTCCATTTTCGCCCAATATAAAATTTGCCTTTCACATTTAATTACCATGTATATCATGTTGTTTACAAATGTCTGCTGTAATGATAAAATAGCACTCATTACGCAGGGCGGTTAACGAGAAAATTGAACTGCAACAATACCCCAGTAAACAGTATATAGTAGTTATATGCTGAAAATACACCACAAAACCTAATATTTTTTGCAATTCAAATTCTGTTTCTGATTCCATAAATGAATGAAGACTTATCCAAAGATATGAGGTATGATAGAAACATGACCGACCTTCCTGCGTTTGATGGAGTCGAGCTTCACGAGCCAGTACGACGCAATCCTGGGTTTGTGGAACTTCCAATTCTCATGTAACTGTAACATAAACAGGACACAAGTTCAAAGGCCTGTAGAGCTGGTTAAATAAACATGTTTCCTCTTTCTTTATTTTACAACAAATATGAAACAAGTCATTTCAACATATAGTAATCACTCTTGTTGGCCCGAATGTTAGCACACGGGGGTCTAAATGTGGGAGGAAACTGGAGTACCTGGAGAAAACCTACGGAATTCGGTGACCCCATATACCTTTTGACGCCTGATCAGGGTGACACCCGGCCACCGCTTGTTCTGTCTAAATGTGGGAGGAAACTGGAGTACCTGGAGAAAACCTGCGGTATCAGTGACCCAATATACCTTTTGACGCCTGATCAGGGTGACACCCGACCACCGCTTGTTCTATACTTTAGTTATCGTTCTGGTTATCAATATTGTAATAAAAATATGTTCATATTAACTGTTTACCAATATGAAAGCTCTGATGCATGACCAAACAATATAGATAGCATTGAACAATTAAAACAGACTCGTTATAACAATTTATAATATAAAATTTTAACACATATAACAGTAGTTCTAATATCTATACGAGCTAGTTCCCATCAGGAAATTACCCTCCTTACAACTAAATATTTGCAAAATAAAGATATTCCCCTGCTCACGTTTCGATCAATACGGAACTGAATACAAAGTATGTAAAGCAGAAAATATAGGTCACAGTGACCTAAATTTGAGATAATGCTTTATTACTCCTCAAGTATGAGTAAGAGTAATATAACTAACCGCAAAGTCTAACCATGAATGCTGGACTTCTAGCATGAGTAGGAGTAATATAACTAACCATAAAGTCTAACCATGAATGCTGGACTTCTAGTATGAGAAAGAGTAATATAACTAACCGCAAAGTCTAACCATGAATTTTGGACTTCTAGCATGAGTAAGAGTAATATACCTAACCACAAAGTCTAACCATGAATGTTGGACTTCTAGCATGAGTAAGAGAAATATAACTAACCACAAAGTCTAACCATGAATGCTAGACTTCTAGCATGAGTAGGAGTAATATAACTAACCATAAAGTCTAACCATGAATGCTGGACTTCTAGCATGAGTAGGAGTAATATAACTAACCATAAAGTCTAACCATGAATGCTGGACTTCTAGTATGAGAAAGCGTAATATAACTACCCGCAAAGTCTAACCATGAATGTTGGACTTCTAGTATGCGTAGGAGTGATATAACTAACCACAAAGTCTAACCATGAATGCTAGACTTCTAGCATGAGTAGGAGTAATATAACTAACCATAAAGTCTAACCATGAATGCTGGACTTCTAGCATGAGTAGGAGTAATATAACTAACCGCAAAGTCTAACAATGAATGTTGGACTTCTAGCATGAGTAAGAGAAATATAACTAACCACAAAGTCTAACCATGAATGCTAGACTTCTAGCATGAGTAGGAGTAATATAACTAACCATAAAGTCTAACCATGAATGCTGGACTGCTAGCATGAGTAAGAGTAATATAACTAACCGCAAAGGCTAACCATGAATGTTGGACTTCTAGCATGAGTAAGAGTAATATAACTAATCGCAAAGTCTAACCATGAATGCTGGACTTCTAGCATGAGTAAGAGTAATATAACTAACCACAAAGTCTAACCATGAATGCTGGACTTCTAGCATGAGTAGGAGTAATATAACTAACCACAAAGTCTAACCATGAATGCTGGACTTCTAGCATGAGTAGGAGTAATATAACTAACCACAAAGTCTAACCATGATTTCAAACGTACATGATATACATATTGACATACAGATGGATAAACTGAACAACAGAAAATCCAAAAGGGGGAATAAAAATGAACTGTTGATAATACATATTTCAATGAAATAAACAAATAAAAGACGATTATTTCACTGTTAATAAAGAAAAAGTTGTATCAGTTACAAATATTCTTACTGAACAATCTTCTTTGTAAAACCATACCATGCGACATTTAAATATGGTCATTTCCGGGTTTTGACATCTGAAATGGTCAGAAAAACATTTTTTCTCTTTATGTCATGCTCCGGTTAATATCATGTCTTCCTCTGACAAATGAGAAGTGATATTAAGCGAAATCTACTGTCTATCATGGCCATGTTGCAAAAAATATAAACAGTCTTACAAGTAGCGTTTAACTATGATTAATTGGCAAATCACTACACAGCAAACTACAAATGTCTACAAATCTAGCGTACCTTGTCAAGGATGTACTCTGCCTCCTGGTCCGACTTGCCAGGGAACTTGATCCTCATCTCATTGAGAGCAACCAGTGTCTTCCTTGTCAGCTCATCCTCGCGTTCCTTCACCACGCTCAACAGGAAGTTATCATCCTGCTTACATAACAAAACCAGGATATTTATACGTATGTTCAGTCGTACTTCAAATTGAAGATTCTATCTGCTTTAATAAGAGCGGATACTCATAGTGACCAAAGAAAGAATCTTGAAGGAGACTGCATGATTAGTGTATTCACAAGACATCGCAGATTTTAATATTTTTGACAGAGTTCATCTTAAGTTTTATCAATGATTTTATGAATGATTCATGTTAATAAATTATTAAAATTTTATTCAAGAGAGAGAGAGAGAGAGTAAAACTGACCATAATTAAATAAGTTCAATATAGATATGAAAAACATGACAGTTGATGCTTGTGTCCCTAATTAAAGAAATTGCATTTGTAGGGCTATGAATGCAATGAAATCTGTGTTATTTTGACATTTCTACTCCTGCCTCATAAAGTGTGAGCCTCTTATAAGTAGCAAACATTTCGGTGATGCGAAGCTGTTTCAATAATATTGTTTACGATGATAATAGACAGTTGAAAACCACCAATATTAGGGTATATCTAATAGAATATAAATTCAGAATGTATATGTGCATATTGAACAGCATCATTTCAATGTTCATGCTGGTATGAATGCAGGATGTTAACATGTATTTATAAGCGTGTACTGTTGGTTTACATACCACTGCAGACCTCTGTAGTGGGGTATGTTTCCCATTGCCTGTACGAGACAATGACCTTGACCTTTGGTTAGCAGCTGACATATTGCTAGTTGGCCTTGACCTGAGGCCACCAACGCCCGAGTTTGGCCTAGAATTGAAAGTACTGGACGTGCCGTCATTGCTCATTCTGCTGTCAGGTCGGCCGGAGGAGCCCGGACGTCTACCGGGATGGTAGCCCTGACGCCCCATCGAGGGTGAACCTGATGCGGACATACTCTCTGTCTCTTCGTCTTCCATCTCCTCATCCTCATCATCATCATTCTCGAGGGGTGAAGGGACACTGACAGGCATGCTCAGTAGTGGCTGTAAAAAGCAGGATTAACAATATTATCAGATAATATTAACAATATGCTAAAGAGCCCATAATACATCTTCATTTTACCCTCAATCAATACAATTTCATGACAATATTAAATGAGAATGTCTAGCAAAACTTGTAAACTCATAAAGGCATTCCATGTACATGTACAGCCTAGCTAGGCAAACAGTGCTATATATAAGAGTTAGGACTTAAACCGTGAGATAATATATGATAAATGAACATGCAAAGAATGATAGCAATGACCAGTGATGTCAGAGTTAATATCTATAATTAATTTACATCAACTGTTTTATCAATAAAATAGTCTACACAATTAAGACTCGGACTTGCTAAAGATACTAAGAAAAGCGACAAAGTTGTAATTTTTATGAAAAAAAAAATCAAATAAAACATGCATTAAGCCTTCATAGAGATGGAGAAATAAAGAAGTAATATTAACGGTAAATTTCCATATAACACTGGATCCTTACAAACATATGTTTGTAGGATACGAGTTATTTAAAATTGGTATATGGGACAAGGGAGTCATTCTTACAGTGTAGACAATATGAGGTTGTCAAATTTTCGGAACAATCACCCGCTCCTTTATTGAGATGCAGTAAAACACAGAACACTTACATTACAACTTTAATTTTTATGTAATGTATTAGTGTTCTGTGTTTTACTGTGTCTTGGTCATTTAGGATGGGATTGCTCCGAAAGTTGGACAACCTCATACTGTCTGCACTGTCGGAATTAACTTCATTGCCCCAGATCCTTAATTGATTAATAGATATATGGCACCCCACACACAATCCTTCCCCCACACAACTGGACATAGAGATAAAGACAGTGGAAAATGTTATAGAACAATTGGAAACAGCAATGATATATATACATACATGATTAGAAGCACAGATGTATTAATGAAAATCATGAAATTAAAAAATAAAATTTAATGTGTGATTATTGGTATAAATACGGTACACTTATATACACTTCAGTTACATTTTTTATGTTATCTGTTCGTACACTCATATGGTTAATTATAAAACAGTTAATAAATTAAATTGTTAACTGTATCGGCAACCACCATGTACATATAATTACAGGCCTAATTGAGTCCTTTAACTCATTCACCCCTGAAGACACATTTGAACTCTTCCAATTCAAATATTTGAATAGTTCATTATGAAATTTCAGGGGTAAATGAGTTAATTAATTTAGATTAAACCTGCAAAGTCATGATCCTTGTTTTTGTGTTTCGTAATAATAAATGAAAATAGAAAATTATTGTAAGACATGAATGCCCAATACTCCCATGGAACTAAGAGTAAAATGGACAAATTGTCATAAACAATAACGTGACCGTAGCTTTGAACTTTGGTTCCTGAAAAAAGAACTCTATTTTTTTTTAAATGAAATTTACAATGTTCACCAAACCATTCCATTTTTTTTATTGTTGCGTAGTTTTTTTTATGGTTGTTTCTAAATATACAAACAGATGATAGGTACATATTTCCTCAAAAAAAATATGCATATATTTGTAAAGAGAGTGATTGATTTCTTACAAGAACCAACTTCTGAAATGAATGTAAAAATAATTATGTCTGACAACAGATAGCTAATTTACATGTAGCTGTCCTCTTTATATAATAGAGGTTAATTTTACACAGCTGGATTCAAATGCTTCCACATATATATAGCTGGATATTTTTGGGGCAATGACATTTTCACGATTTTGCGAGTCAATAACTGAAGTTGATCCCTAAAATATTATCCACAGAATAATATGACAAACCTAACAATGACCTACTATAATAAACTTCAAAATTGTAACGTCGTCATGAAATAGCGTGCATGCAGTTGTGGCGATGATCATATATATAAAGAGTAATGATGTTTGAAAATACATGTAGAATATGTCACACAGCTAATAGTTTTTATTTATGTAACGAAATTCGATCTTGTAGTTGCTCAATATGCTGTCATGAAATCTGTTCAGGTGGCTAATTGACACTTTATATGCAGAATTTCTCCTCTCTGTGATAATACACCGCAAAAATTAAGTTCAATCACATGTTTGGATTGCGAAATTATAATCCATGTCAATCTAATTTTCTGATTTTGGTCAAAATCGTGAAAATTTAAGCCTGCGTAAATGACCCATTATACAGTATCAGAGCATTACCTACAACACATCTACTCTGAAATGTGTTTGTGTTTATATAGGTCTTTACTCTCGTCATGCAAACGATCTATAACAAATGAAAAATAATAAAAGCCTTAGCTCTAATCAAATCAGGAAAAAAAAGAGTATGGCTTTGAAGCTATATGTCATGATCATGAGAATTATAATTAGCTATTATTTCCACCCAGGTATGTGGTAGATGAAATTATTTGAAAAGATTATGGCCAGTATATATACAGTGTACATGCAGTCTATATACATAGAATATAGCTATAAAGAAACAAAAAGTCAACACAAAGTCGAGAAACCAAAACATCTGATTATTTGGCGTAAATATCAGTTATAAAATTATAACTGAAAATCAAAAAGTTAATATTGCTCAAGAAAAGTATAAAATGATAAGTAGTTGCTCCAATTATATATGACTCACATTGCATTGCATCGGACGACATTTCAGAATTTCACTAAATGAGCGAGCGAACACATATTGTAGAATCATCGTTTTTAATACACCATAATAACATCATTTCTGTGTTTGATTTCTTTTCATATAACCGTTTTAACAGCCCAAAAAAACACGGATGGACATATTGTTGACTTCTGCTAAAACGATGATAAATATTCATGCTGAAAATGTTCTACTGATATTAGTGAGAGTGCATGAATTTATTCTTGACAATAAACTACTAGTTTGAATGAAATATATAATGAATATGCAATTACTTGCAACTAATGTTTTTGATGGAGGAGAAACAACATGACCCAATTTTTTAAATAACGTCATGCAAGTACTATTTTTAGATGTCCACATAAACTTACAGTGTCAACAAGCCAGTTTATGCTATTTTATGAAATGAAAAAGTTTAATTTGACAAAAAGCAAAATCTGAGGAATTTTGATTCAAAAGTATAAAAAGAAATGATGGTGAAAAAATGAGGAAACTTGGCAAGTATATGAAAAGGACATTATATGCCTAATTGATCTGGTCGTTTTGATCTTGTATGCAAGTTAATGATATTTTACTTGGATTTCACAATGTCTACTAATCAATCTTCATTATTCAACTTTCAATTTCAAATGAAAGAATGAAATTTTGCTTAAGAAACATCCAACTCAAACAGAAACATCTGTTTTTAAATTTCATCTCCCATTGTTCCACTTCGGAAGCTGATATTTCCACCAAGATTTAATTAACATGGCTGGAAATAAAGTCAATCTGTGTTTTTTTTGCTTAACCTTTGACCTCAAACATTTCATTAATTTACTTTAGTCAAAACAAAGGTCACAACATGGTATCATATCTTTTTATATCAATGAATATGACAGTATAATCTAGGAATGAGAGAGGATTTTGAAATGTAATTTTATGCAAATTAAATGAAGTTTGAGATGTAATCTTTAACCCTTACACCACTGTAGACCATAATAGACTCAACCAGATCAATGCATGGTAGTCTACTAAAGGTACATAGGGGTGAAAGGGTTAAACATATTTTAGTAGACTATCAGTAATAATATATTTAGTGATAAAAAACCCCATAAAGGACTTAAAGTAATGAATGAACAAAACAAAAATGTAGTATTTCCAGACTTGATTGAAACAAATATGTTTTTGCTCGCTGAAATGTGAGACTCGATACAGCTCTGCCCATGCAGTGAGGTGTTAATACTATATATGGGCATGCTGTTGTCATGGTTACCTTGCCGTGATTATAATGAAACTTTCCTGTTGTGTTATAAGGAGTCTGTAAGAAAGTACAACTAGTTAATGAATCTACTTTGGTGGATAAAGCATACAAACTAAGGTCATTCAAGTTAATATCCGAGTATAACTTTTGAAAACGGTGATTTTAAAATTAGCAGAGTTACTGTGATTTTATTAAATCAGTAGTATATTGTATCACTAGAGATATATCTGTATTCTATCACTAGACTAGTACAATCACCATTAACTCAACTAAAAAGAAATCTAATTGGTCATGAACTATAGAAGTTTAAAAAAAAAATAAAAAAAATAAAAAAAAATGAGAAACTTTTAACCCTTTCACCACTGTAGACCATAATGGACTCATCCATATAAATGCATGGTCGAGTCTACGAAAGTTACATAGGGATGAAAGGGTTAAGCTTGCTTATCCTATGTATACTTGTTCACAATAAAAATGTATGGACTTTTCTCCTTATCTGCTGTAATAGGATCTTAAATCAGGACTTCAGTAGAAAAATTAGGAATCTAGCATCAAACTACGTTCTTAAGGTTAGACGTGGTGGTCATTGACAACCCTAGAATGAAAGTTGGGCAGGAGTTCCTGCATGATCTGATCTGGGGAGGGGGTTGGCAAATCAATACTGAACGTTAACATTATTAAGCTTTCAATTTGTCCATAAATCAAATCATCTTCGCTAGTCAAGGGTTGATCCGGTACGATTTAGCTACCTACTCTTCCGAGTAGGTAGATCGTACCGGATCAACCCTTGGCTAGAGAAGATGAAATCAAATGACCATATCTACATTTCTACTGAACTAGGACTCAATATATCAACTAAAGATTGTAAAGGTTTCATTGTAATCAATGCAAACAAGTTGTTCATCTTACCAGGACGACGTCTTACAGTGAATAATGACGTCATAAGTTTCGGTACCTTCCGTGGTGTTAGACTTGCACAAGACCGATATTTTAGAAATTATCCAAAAATAAAAGGATAGAATCCTGTTTTGTTGAGGTTTATCGGGTATAAACCTCAATGAATTTTGAGAAAAATTCAATATGAATTTGTCTCAAGATCCATTGAGGTTTATACCCCATAAACCCCAACAAAACAGGTTTATACCCCATAAACCCCAACAAAACAGGTTTAAATCCTTAAATAGCGTAGTCTTCAAAGAAGCTGACCTCGACCTTGTGCAAATATAATTTTTTCATGAAAAAATACCTGTACCAGAAATAGACTTGAAACTCTTATTTATTTATTTAGTAGGTACTTAATTAATCCATCATCTATTTTAAAAAGTTTATTATAGATCTACAATGCAATGCTACTGGAATGGGTGAGAAAGTTTATACCAGTTACATGGAATAAATTATGGATATTTTCTATGTTATCTCGCTAGAATATAAATATTTTCTATGTTGCTTAGCTAGAATATAGATATTTTCTGCATTATTTTGCTAGAATATAAATATTTTCTATGTTATCTTGCTAGAATATCAATATTTTCTAAGTTGCTTAGCTAGAATATAAATATTTTCTATGTTGTTTAGCGAGAATATAAATATTTTCTATGTTGCTTAGCTAGAATATAAATATTTTCTATGCTATCTAGCTAGGTTATACATACATTCTACACTATAAGCTAACTACTCTTTTTGAAATAGAATAAACTAATCTTATATGTAGATACACTACATAAGATAGAAACAGGGATTGTAGTAATTTAACGTTCCAAAGTTTTAATATACCCTAGCTCACTCAATTATAATATAAAATTATATGGAAAAACATCAAAGGTGATAAAAAAACTGATGTAAAAGGTGTTAAGGTTNCTTTTCACATTTGCTTTAGGTTCTAATCTGATTTCATTCACCATTCCATGTAGAAAGAAAATACCTACTTAATTAATAAGAACCTCAAACCTATTTCTGGTACAGGTATTTTTTATCATGTGTTAACAATTTCAGAACAAGTATTCAGATAGTTATCTGTATGATACAGTCTATTGATAATGAAGCCTATTTGATTTAATGTTCACTCTTTCAAAAAAATTGTAGACATTACGTATTCCGTCTTTGCGTATTGCAGAGTTATCTTCTCTTGAGAGCAGGTATTGATTGTTACGTCATTGGTTCGTGTGAGAAAATTACGTCGTTTTCTCAAAAATTGATGACGTTACTCTCACAAACAAATGACGTAACAATCAATACCAGCTCTCAAGAGAAGATAACTCTGCAATACGCAAAGACGGAATACGTAATGTCTACAATTTTTTTGAAAGAGTGAACATTAAATCAAATAGGCTTCATTATCAATAGACTGTATCATACAGATAACTATCTGAATACTTGTTCTGAAATTGTTAACACATGATAAAAAATACCTGTACCAGAAATAGGTTTGAGGTTCTTATTAATTAAGTAGGTATTTTCTTTCTACATGGAATGGTGAATGAAATCAGATTAGAACCTAAAGCAAATGTGAAAAGATTCCATTTAATAAACAAATTGATAAAATACACTGTCGGGACCAACACTTTATTGGTCTGCTGATTTGTAACGAAAAAATAATCACTAGAATGAACATCTATATGATATAATGTTATATCACATCTATCAGATAATGTCGTGTGCATATAGGAAGGGAGATCACTCTGACAATCACAGAAAGGATCAACCAGGAGATCATAATATAACAGAATATCTATTTTTGAAGTACCTTGGGTCCTCTAGGTTTGCTGTTGGGGCCACCTGTATAATATTTCCCTTCTTTTTCATCTGCTTCACATTCTGCTAGCATGTCCATAATATCAACCTCCTGAAAAAGTCAGTTTCACACATATTCTTGGGCAAAATATCTGTGAAAACTTGACATGATAGATATAAACTTCCAGGGAAAAAAAAAAATCCCACACAATCTCGGTAGTTCAAAATTTCTTTGGAAACTTGACATGATTACAACTTCCTGAAAAATTGTGGTTCTCACATAATCCACCACACTCGACACCTGAGTACCTGACCTCTCTCCCTCATGAAACTTCCTTTTTTATTTTATTTTTTTCTCAGCCAGTTCTGTGATCTTTTACTAGTCTTCCTTGATACATCACAAATTCGATTTATAAATTGAATAGAAAAAAAATTGAAGGTATGAAAGATTTATAGATAAAATTGAGCAGATTCTTGTTTCCTATACACACTGTATACATCCTATTCACAGTACATGAACATGCTTTGTATAATGCTATAGGTGATGAGGACATTTTTAAAATTCTGTACCTTTAGCTTATTGTTATAAACTCTCTGGATTTCTTTCTGCATGGCGGGGGCTTTACCGGACATGAAAATGCCAAATGTTGAAGAAAGCAACTGGACGTAGTGTTCCTGCCTTCCTCTGTCATCGGGCGGGAAGATTCGCCGGAATCTACCACGATTCCTATTCTCGTAATCCTCCCTAGCTGATACCTTCCTTATTCTCGCCAGTGTCTCTTTCTGTGAATCAACAAACGAAACTTTGTTACACAATTTGCATATTTCAATGAACATGTATTTATATTTCACCTGTATAACAGTGGGTCTGATTTGGAGATTCTGGTCACATGATTGGGCAGTAAAACATCATGTCGCCCTCAAGCTCTAAGTTTACAGATCATATTTCCCTTATTTAGAGCCTCTCTAGAAAAATTTGTAAAAGCCACCACAACCTATATATATATGGTTCCAAATGACAAAAGCAGACGACAACAATGATGCATTAACCTGATTATCTCTACTATTGTATAATTGGGTTTTTTTTGGCAGAGTAAAATATGAATTGCCCTTACTGTAGGGAAACATAATTCTTTGTTTCTCCTCGTTCAATCATGTTACCCTTACTGTAGGGAAACATGATTCTTTGTTTCTCCTCGTTTAATCATGTTGCCCTTACTGTAGGGAAACATGATTCTTTGTTTCTCCTCGTTTAATCATGTTGCCCTTACTGTAGGGAAACATAATTCTTTGTTTCTCCTCATTTAATCATGTTGCCCTTACTGTAGGGAAATATGATTCTCTGTTTCTCCTCATTTAATCATGTTGCCCTTACTGTAGGGAAACATGATTCTTTGTTTCTCCTCATTTAATCATGTTGCCCTTACAGTAGGGAAAAATGATTCTTTGTTTCTCCTCGTTTAATCATGTTGCCCTTACTGTAGGGAGACATGATTCTTTGTTTCTCCTCATTTATCATGTTGCCCTTACTGTAGGGAAATATGATTCTTTGTTTCTCCTCAGTTAATCATGTTGCCCTTACTGTAGGGAGACATGATTCTTTGTTTCTCCTCATTTAAGCATGTTACCCTTACTGTAGGGAAATATGATTCTCTGTTTCTCCTCATTTAATCATGTTGCCCTTACTGTAAGGAAACATGATTCTTTGTTTCTCCACATTTAATCAAGTTACCCTTACAGTAGGGAAACATGATTCTTTGTTTCTCCTCATTTATCATGTTGCGCTTACTGTAGGGGAATATGATTCTTTGTTTCTCCTCATTTTATCATGTTATTCTTACAGTAGGGAAATATGATTCTTTGTTTCTCCTCAGTTAATCATGTTGCCCTTACTGTAGGGAGACATGATTCTTTGTTTCTCCTCATTTATCATGTTGCCCTTACTGTAGGGAAATATGATTCTTTGTTTCTCCTCAGTTAATCATGTTGCCCTTACTGTAGGGAAATATGATTCTTTGTCTCTCCTCATTTAATCATGTTGCCCTTACGGTAGGGAAATATGATTCTCTGTTTCTCCTCATTTAATCATGTTGCCCTTACTGTAAGGAAACATGATTCTTTGTTTCTCCACATTCAATCATGTTACCCTTACAGTAGGGAAACATGATTCTTTGTTTTTCATCGTTTAATCATGTTGCCCTTACAGTAGGGAAAAATGATTCTTTGTTTCTCCTCGTTTTATCAATTTTGTTGCCCCTACTGTAAGGAAACATGATTTTTTGTTTCTCCTCGATTAATTATGTTTCATGTGGATGAACAGTAAGGGCAATAAATGTATAATACATGTATCAACCTCTTTTTTGTTATCAGGTTTACAGCGATATCATACAAACTTTCAAAATTCTCCAATTTCGGAAACAAATTACCAGAATGAGTGTCTTATGTGACCTTGAAGGAAAGGTTGAAAAATACTTGATATAACAAACATAGGTCTGTTATAAAGAATAAATGTCCAAATTAGTACTTATTCAACAAGAAATGGCTTAACTGGAAGCCGTTGTAGTAATTCAGAAACAATACTACTTGTCTGGAAATATATAATAGAGGTAGTTGAATCTGGTTGTAAGACCACTTTTTCTATCCTTAGAGACCAACATTTTCTCCTCCACACACAAAGCAGATTTACTATATAATCATATTAGCCTTCCCTTGGTTGGTTTCTATAAACAGTCTTGGTAGTTCAGATGAACTTATTTAGAATTTGTAACTCATTTGAGCCCTGCATGCAACCTTAAAAGTCATTCATAAGAACAAGCTTTACAGCAACGTACACTACTGACCAAATATCATAACCACAATTAAGCCTCTAGGTTTACTTAGAAGTTATGCAAAAGTTGATACCAGATGCTGGACTAAATGACGATTGCTTTGACGTATGCCATTAGCTTGCTTGCCTCTTTGACAGGCAAGCTGAAATTTGCTCAGACAGATTTTCGTCCTATAGATTAGTTATATATAGTTAAGCCTCAATCCACTCACCAAGTCCTCTTTCCGTTTCTCTATGCTTTGTCGCTTCTTTTCGTATTCTGTCATGTCTGGACCTTCTGCTCGTTTATTTTGTCGAAACAGCCTCTTTCTGGCCTCTGCTTTCTGAGCGGCCATATTTCTGCTCTTGTCACTTATTCTGAATAAGAATTGTTTAGATTTTATTACAATTTTCATTAATCTACTAAAGAGAATTTGTAAAGCATCAATTTAAATGAACAGACTGTAAATTACCATATTCAACAGACTGTAAACTACCATATTCAACAGACTGCAAGTTACCATATCAAACAGTCTGTAAGTTAAGGTTCAACAGAATTGCATCAAAGCAATATGCTATTTTCAGAGCAATTGAATTAACTCACAAAAGCACATGTTTGTATTTAACTGGTGGCCATCTTACCCGATGGAGGGTTTGAGGCGTATTATTGGTATACACATGAACTTACTTGATATTGAGCAATCTAATTGTGTCTTCAATCAACGCTGACTTGATATCGTAGTCCACTTTCTCATCCGTCCCAAAGCTCGGTGAACGATTGATCTGTGGTATCAAGAAAGCTTGTTATTGCAATTGTTCCTGTAATTATGTTATTGATGTAAAAATGTACCTTTATTGAAATCAACTGTTTTATTCTGTTCAAAATTAAGCTCATTGGGGACATTCTAAAGACCAAATCTATCTGCTTCACTTGTAACAAGACTTCAGATTTTTTTTTAATTTTTGAATGTTTCCACAGTTATTTTGGACCTACCATTAACCATTTCCCTTACAATGTATAGCTTAACCCCGGTATATTTCACCCTAAGCTTCACACTCTCAAATACTGCATGTAGAATTCATATTCTTGTTATGTCAGCAACTAATAACTAGTGCTATGTCATATCTGATATCTTAGTAATAATTCCCTCTAAAGTGCGAATTACTTGAATGAAATATTCCTTGTTTTGAAAAGTTCAATTTCATTATTTCATTATCATGTAACTGATCATGTGTTTATCATTATCACTGTTCCTGATGGCATTTATCACCACATGTATGTACCACTTATATTCATACGCATGTATTAAACCAGGGTTTCAAAAACTTGTACAGATACTTTTTATCGTGGGGCAGGTCGTAAATTGTTTGTCCGACTCTTGATTTGTAGGTAAAATAATATAAGATTAAGTTATACATAGTTTACGTCCGTATCAGACATCATTATTTTACTTTCATAAATGAAGGTGTAAATTACTTCAAGTAGCCAAGGGCGGAGCTTTCTGTCAATCAGCACGTCAAATCCTAGCACCTCAAAACACACACTATCACTTCCAGGGGCAGCTCCGGGTCGACACATCCGGTACGCATGCAACAGGTGTGGCTCCGACACGATCAACGTCTTCACGATCATGTCACCAATGTTTTGCCACAGAACTCCATCATTGATGTCATTTTGTCTCAAATATTCACGGAAGAACTGAACTGAACGTTTACTTCCTGAGCTAAGTGAGTCTCCTTTCTCGTAAAACTCATTATGCTTGTTCACAGAATAATTTGTTAAATGCATGAATGAATGGTTCTGAAATACAAAAATTGCATTACATAATTAAGATTTTGGCTATTCTCCAAATCAGCTCGACGTTTCCAGGTTATGTTGTATGACCTAAAAACCCAGACAACACAATAAGTGATGATGTCATATACCCGGTACCCCAATGTTGGCACAGTTTTTTCTAACCATAACTTCTGTCCAATTCCTCCAGGATGAAGTTACTGTGCAATGTTGTATTTTGTACATATTTAGTTTTTATCAGAAATTAATAAATATGCATCTGTTATATAACAAAAAAATGTTATCTGTCTTCTTACACTGAATCAAAAGGGATGACCGTGACTGTGTATACAACCCGGGGGAAAAAAGTGTGCACTTCTGTGCATAAAACACTCTGTAGATTTATGCAAAGTGCACACAGGTTTTTTTCGGTATATACTGTATATAACCCCAAAAATAATCTTGCTTTTTTTTAAAAAAAATACAATAATGTCTTATGAGGGAGGGGGCTTAATTGCAGGCACCCACCCTGTTCCCTGCAGGACATTTACCAAAGTGGGGAGGGGGCTTATTTGCGAGAGGGGGCTTATTGGCGGTAAAATACGGTAATATGAACAGACGTATCATTCTACTAAATGGTGATGTAAAAGTGAAGAAGTAATTATATCAGTGACAATGTTGTCAACATAATTTGTCAAATTTAAGAGGCAACATCAATATATATATATATATATATAGAATAAAAAATATAAAATAAAAAATAACAATAAAAAAATATAAAATAAAGAATATATATATATATATATATAACTACACTATTACAACCTAAAACATCAGTAATCAACTACAAAAGAATACACAGCACAATTTTAACACCATAATATACATGGGCCAGATCCCAAATAAGTTCACGTAACCGTAAATCAGTATATTCATTATACATGTAAACGCAAAGCTTTTTACTTTGAGAGGGGTACTAATTCTGATTTGACAGACAGCAATATTTAGCTTTGAACCGATTAAAAAAATACATCAATAAAGAAATAGATATAGGTAATCAATGATTAATTCTACGTTTTAGAAAGTAAATATTTTTTTTACGAAATGCAGATTGACCTAGCTAATTACACACTCACAATGTTGGCTTCAGTTGGTGCCAGATATTTCTCAGTACTGAGTCTGACAAGGCCGTCGTCAAATAAAAACACCCGGAGAGGATCACACGAGGTCACAAGTACGTAGATACGGAGGTCAAACTTGTAGCCGTCCATCAGTAGAGGTTTGTCTATGTACTCCTGTACTATAAAATGTTCCGCTTGGGGAATTTTTTCTGCATTTCTAAACAGTTGAATTCTAAAAAATAATAATACAGACAAAATATTATAAAAGGATTTTCCTGGAAATCAGAATCTGAAGTATGAAAATAAACTTTATATAAGTTATGATACTATAATCTTTGTGCAGGTGGGTAAACCCATATGAAATAGCTGACCTTCAATCTAAGATATCTCATACATGCAACAGTTACTTATTAATCTTTTCACTATTATATATCCTATATGCTTCTGTGCTATTTTCAGCTTGATACATAATATTTGTTAAACTAATATATTAGTTGGTGACTCAGAATCCCAAAATAATTTACCATGCTGATGTGAAAGTGAGAACAAAGACCAATTTGTTATTTTAAATTCAGCAAGTCTTAGTTAGAACTCATAATCTTCAAATCAGTTGATGCATAGTTAAATATGTCATATCAGAACAATGCTTTTTTTAAAGAAAAAAACAAGAAAATTATTGAAAATGTGATATGTATACCAATTACTAAGTTAACCCTCCCCTCCATAAAGGGACATTAAAGCAGTAATATGGAAATTTCAAAACAAATTAACTTATCACTAAGTAAAAGTGGATGTATTACATGACTGTCAGTCCAGCTTCAAGGAGGGTTTAATTTGAGCCCGTCTCATCACCAATGGCCTAAGTTTAAGCTCCTTTGCAGAGTTGCAGGCTCCATAGAAAGGTTTGAGATCAATGGCCCTGTTTAAGTCTTGTACTTATCAATGACCCTTATAATGAGCTTTATTTGAGCCTTGTACTTATCAATGACACTTATTATGGGCTCTATTTGAGACTTGTACTTATCAATGACCCTAATTATGAGCTTTATTTGAGCCTTGAACTTATCAATTACCCTTATTATGGGTTCTATTTGAGACTTGTACTTATCAACTACCCTTATTATGAGCTCTATTTGAGACTTGTACTTATCAATGACGCATATTGTGAGCTCTATTTGAGCCTTTTACTTATCAATTACCCTTATTATGGGTTCTATGTGAGACTTGTACTTATCAACTACCCGTATTATGAGCTCTATTTGAGTCTTGTACTTATCAATGACCCTTGTTATGAGCTCTATTTGAGCCTTTTACTTATCAATTACCCTTATTATGAGCTCTATTTGAGCCTTTTACTTATCAATGACCCATATTGTGAGCTCTATTTGAGCCTTGTACTTATCAATGACCCTTGTTATGAGCTCTATTTGAGCCTTGTACTTATCAATGACCCTTGTTATGAGCTCTATTTGAGCCTTGTACTTATCAATGACCCTTATTATGAGCTCTATTTGAGGGCTTGAGCCTTGTACTTACCCGTGGCCCTGAGCTCCATTGGAAGGTTTAATAATGAATGTTTTGGTTTTTTTCTTTGCACGTAGGTCCTTGGCGTAGTTAAGTAGGAGACTGTGATCGGCAGGGAGGATCCAGGTTTTTGGGGAAAAGGAAAAGTCATCTGGGAGCTGTTTCTGGACTCTGAAGATATTAAACATAATTTTAAAAGTTTAAATCTAGAAAGCTGCATGAGTTGACGAATTGGATCTGATAATCCTGATTATAGTTATATTTTTCTCTAAAAGACATACTGAACTATCTATTGTTAGGATAGTGGGATGGTATAGTATTACAAAAAACAGTTTATCACATAACTGACCCATTTTACTATGTTACATGACCATGTCATTATTATGGTATTTCACAAGTGTAATAAAACCTAAAGGTGCTGCGATTGGTCGAAAACCTGGGAACATATTCCTACGCCATTACCGGTACTTATATATAACTTTTATTTACTATACCTCATGATATATTTACTGCTATTTCAAAAGAATTTGAAATGTTAATTATATTTTGTTATTTTCATTGCATTTAAAACTGTTCATTATTTTTGAAAAAATCTGGAACTACTTTGCACTACGCGGAACTACAATACAGTTTTATCATACTACGATCGGAGTACTTTGGTTATAGCTATATATAGAATCAGCTGAGACACACATATAATTGGATGTGTTTTAAAAAAAAAATTCAAATAATGAATGTTATGTGATATATAGAATCTTACATACGTGTCTATGTCATATCTAGTTTATCGAACTCGTTCAGTAAATTCAATAAGACATGGACATGAATGTTAGATCATCTATCTATATACAATAATGTACTGGTATGAATGTACATAACAATGCACAGTTGGTTTAATGTGTCATCTATAAACGATGAACTGTATCAGTTGAACACTTGTAACCTATACACATGTGGTCTGTGTTGCATCTGATACAGGTCACAAACAGATCTGTTGTTAAGTTAAAGTCCTAGGGTATCGGAAATTACTGGAACATCAGACAAAAAAGTCAGGACAATTAACCATTAGCAGCGGACATGGTCATTGACGGAGGACTACAGGGCCCGCGGAGTAGATGTGGCTTTATCTTCAGATAGCAATCATCCCATCATTAACAATTCATAGCACACACAGAACTAAGCAGGAGAGAATACACTGTCATGCGATCTATTCATGGCTTCAAAAGCGAGCTTCTCCTACACATGCAACAACGGTAAAGAGTCAACGCCTTTGTTTGCCTGTAACTTAAGGCACAGTTATTGCTAACAGCATCACCAAATGTGGCTTTGTTTACCTGTTACTAGGCAAGATTATGGCTAACAGCATCACAAAATGTGTCTTTGTTTACCGGTTACTAGGCAAGATTATGGCTAACAGCATCACAAAATGTGTTTTTGTTTACCTGTTACTAGGCAAGATTATGGCTAACAGCATCACAAAATGTGTCTTTGTTTACCGGTTACTAGGCAAGATTATGGCTAACAGCATCACAAAATGTGTTTTTGTTTACCTGTTACTAGGCACGGTTATGGCTAACAGCATCACCAAATGTGGCTTTGTTTACTTGTTACTAGGCACAGTTATTGCTAACAGCATCACCAAATGTGGCTTTGTTTACTTGTTACTAGGCACAGTTATTGCTAACAGCATCACCAAATGTGGCTTTGTTTACCTGTTACTAGGCAAGATTATGGCTAACAGCATCACAAAATGTGTTTTTGTTTACCTGTTACTAGGCACGGTTATGGCTAACAGCATCACCAAATGTGGCTTTGTTTACCTGTTACTAGGCAAGATTATGGCTAACAGCATCACAAAATGTGTCTTTGTTTACCTGTTACTAGGCAAGATTATGGCTAACAGCATCACCAAATGTATCTTTGTTCACCTGTTACTAGGCAAGGTTATGGCTAACAGCATCACCAAATTATCTTTGTTTACCTGTTACTAGGCAACGTTATGGCTATCAGCATCACCAAATGTGTCTTTGTTTACCTATTACGAGGCAAGGTTATGGCTAACAGAATCACCAAATGTGTCTTTGTTTACCTGTTGCTAGGCAAGGTTATGGCTAACAGCATCACCAAATTATCTTTGTTTACCTGTTACTAGGTAAGGTTATGGCTAACAGCATCACCAAATGTGTCTTTGTTTATAAAGTGCTGTCAGCTTTACATATAAATAGTTGAACTATTGATACAGGATTAACCAGCTCCCTCACATGTTTAAATAGCCATAAATAACATAAACATAATGTCTTTTCCTTTTTCTAGGAAACTTGAATTTAAAAGAGTGATTTTTTTTTTTCATTTCTCTTTATAAAAGAAGTTATAATTCTACTGCTTGTTACTATTTGAAGACCTTGTACTGTGTTTAAAGGTCTTTGCAAGTTCTCCCCGAATTTAAAGAGTTCTTTGTATTAGGCTTTTAGACCTAATGTTTACACCAAAAATGGAATAATTTCCAGCAAACCCAGTATTTCAAGTTCTATCACAAGCTGCCCCTCAAACATTAAGTTTAAGAGAGGGGCAGTGGTGGCCAAGTGGTTCATTAAGGTGTCTATCATTCTGCTACCACTAGCCCACTGCCACTGGGTTGCGGGTTCGAGGCCTACATGTGGGGCAGTGCCCAGGTACTGGCCGTAAGTCAGTGTTTTTTCTCCGGGATATCCGACTTAATTTCCTCCACCACCAAAACCTGACACGTCCTTAAATGACCGTAATTGTTAATAGGACGTAAAACACAAACACACAAAAACAAACATAAAGTGTTGCTTTTAGACCTTATAACAGGCAAAAAAATATAAAAGATTTCCTCGACACACACACTATTTTATAATGTTAAATGTGTAGTAGATCGTTCATCTAACAGCTCTTAACCCTTTCACCACTGTAGACCATAATGGACCAATCTAGATCAATGTATGGTAGAGTCTACCGAAGTTACCTAGGGGTGAAAGGGTTAATGTAAATGGGTTCAGATCCTTACTTGGCCATGTTGCGAGCCAGACAGTCTTTGCGTGTTATCTCCCCCATGCCTGGGAAATGGTTTATCCTCTGGAAAGATTTCATCTCCGAGATTCGATCCGTGGCAACAAAACAATCATTCCAGAACAGATAGCTGCGAACAAAAATAATAAACAAAAACTTTGTCAATTTGAAATCCATATAGAATGTTTCATCAGTTTCCGCTTACTTGCTGTTTTACATAAATAACTGAAAATTTTTGACAAAGGGAGGATTGATATGAACTCTCAGGTATGAAATTTTGTATTATGATGCAATTTGTATTAAACTCCTTCAACTCTCAAATACTGTGTAGCGGGAAAATTTGAAAAATCAACTTTCGCCTCTTTCACTCTCGGTAATGAGGGCAAACTTATGATAAGAGCCAATGTACATATAAAGTAAACAACATGACAAACAAAGCTCAATCAAATATGAAGGGCAAAATTAACACAGGGTGGGTTTCCCAGTATACAGTATAGGAATTCCATATCACTAGCTGTATACCGGGAAGTTTTCGCCACACTTAATCACCTACGCCATTTTCTGCCTCCGTAACGGGAGTGAACTGATCATTACTGTGAACAATAGTTAAAAACGTAACATAAATGGCTATTAAATGTGAAAAGTGAAATTATCACTTGGCAAGTAATTGTATTTTACCGAAAAATTAAAGGGAAGATGTTAAATAACTTGGTGAGGCGTTCCCGATATACAGTATCAATTTAACACACAAAGAGGCAGAGGAGTCCACCGTCCTATAGGTGCTGGTTGGTAGATGTCTCGGTGGAGGAGTCCACCGTCCTATGGGTGCTGGTCGGTAGATGTCTCGGTGGAGGAGCCCACCGTCCTATAGGTGCTGGTGGGTAGATGTCTCGGTGGAGGGGTCTAACGTCCTATAGGTGCTGGTTGGTAGATGTCTTGGTGGAGGAGTCCACCGTCCTATGGGTGCTGGTCGGTAGATGTCTCGGTGGAGGAGTCCACCGTGCTATAGGTGCTGGTTGGTAGATGTCTCGTTGGAGGAGTCTAACGTCCTATAGATGCTGGTTGGTAGATGTCTCGTTGGAGGAGTCTAACGTCCTATAGATGCTGATTGGTAGATGTCTCGGTGGAGGAGCCTAATGTCCTATAGGGGCTGGTTGGTAGATGTCTCAGTGGAGGAGTCCACCGTCCTATGGGTGCTGGTCGGTAGATGTCTCGGTGGAGGAGTCTAACGCCCTCTAGGTGCTGGTTGGTAGATGTCTCGTTGGAGGAGTCTAACGTCCTATAGATGCTGATTGGTAGATGTCTCGGTGGAGGCGTCTAACGTCCTATAGGTGCTGGTCGGGAGATGTCTCGGTGGAGGAGTCTGAGGTCCTATAGGTGCTGGTTGGTAGATGTGTCGGTGGAGGACCCTAACGTCCTATAGGGGCTGGTTGGGAGATGTCTCGGTGGAGGAGTCTGCCGTCCTATAGGTGCTGGTTGGGAGATGTCTCGGTGGAGGAGTCTGACGTCCTATAGGAGCTGGTTGGTAGATGTCTCGGGGGAGGAGTCCACCGTCCTATAGGTTCTGGTTGGTAGATGTCTCGGTGGAGGGGTCTAACGTCCTATAGGTGCTGGTTGGTAGATGTGTCGGTGGAGGAGTCCACCGTCCTATAGGTGCTGGTCGGTAGATGTCTCGGTGGAGGAATCTTAGGTGGATACCAGAGTATTCTAATAGAGCTCCATAGATAATAAGTAATAACGAGTAGGTAAGGGAGGAAGGAGCACCAACACCTTGAGGGATTCCGTGAATTAGGAGATCTAATTTGTTGACATGTTTCGGATGGCTAGGCCAACCGTTGTCGGGTTCTGATGACGGTTGGCTTATAGACGTCCGAAACATGTCACCAAATAAAATCTCCTAATTCACAGAATCCCTGATGTTGATGCTCCATCTCTTACCTACTTAGTATCGATTTAGGTATCAATTAATTATGTATCTAATTAATATCATCTTTTTATAGGGGCTGATGTCTCACCTGTTTGGGTCATCTTCCTTGGCAACAACATATCCAAGCTTCTCAGACATCTGACGAACTGAAGAAATATAAAAATTAAAATTAAAATCCGACAACAGTTAGAGGAAACTGAACTTCTGATATATTTTTCTTATATATTAATTATAATCCAACTGTTCACAGCCCTCTCAATCACTAAATAATGTAAGGGAAACTAAATTTTTGGTTTGCAGTAAACTTAAGTTTCTGCTTCATCATTTGATAATCACATGATTGATTAAAAACAAAAATGTATTATCATATCAAATGCCAAATTTTGAAACTCCAACCCATGAGTGGTTTTGATCCAATCAATAAGCGATAAAACATTACCATTACTCCCCCCTTTACTTACTTTACTTCCCCCTTTACTTACTGATGTCGTATCGTGTGCCACTAAGGTTGACAGTGATAAGGCTTTTCTTTTTCCGTTTCTTTTTCGGCATCACGGCTCCCTTGAGACGGTCGTCTGCTTCTCCCATTTCCTGTTGCCTCTCCTCAAGACGATCTTCATGGCGTCGCCCTGTTTGTGGGAGGGGACCCACACCCTGCGCACTAGGTCGCCGAGTGTAATGCGTCAGGGAACTCAACGTCACATCTAGAAATATACAGAAGAGTTCTACTACAGATCATGCTGATAGTTGTCTTCAACAATATACAGCTGACAACCAGCACAGCTGTCAACCCTCCCTCATAAGGAGGGAGACTCCCTCATAAGGAGGGAGACTCCCTCATAAGGAGGGAGCCTCCCTCATAAGGAGGGAGCCTCCCTCATAAGGAGGGAGCCTCCCTCATAAGGAGGGAGCCTCCCTCATAAGGAGGGAGACTCCCTCATAAGGAGGGAGACTCCCTCATAAGGAGGGAGCCTCCCTCATAAGGAGGGAGACTCCCTCATAAGGAGGGAGCCTCCCTCATAAGGAGGGAGCCTCCCTCATAAGGAGGGAGACTCCCTCATAAGGAGGGAGCCTCCCTCATAAGGAGGGAGACTCCCTCATAAGGAGGGAGCCTCCCTCATAAGGAGGGAGCCTCCCTCATAAGGAGGGAGTCTCCCTCAGTTTGACCAACATTTACCAATCTCCCTAGAAACTCCCTCATTCTTGTCCAAACCAGTCACACAAACTCAAAATCTACAGCCTGTGGTCAAATAATCTCCTAGTTACTGCAGGGTGTACGTGTGTAATGATTATAACAGGTGTGTCTGAATCAAATGAATATTTTTTTACACTTATTTTGATACATAAAAAGGGAAAGATCAATTGAGCAAAGCAGTTTAAGTTGAATATCACACACTTTCTCCCTCATTGGAAATGAGGAATGAGAGAGATCTCCCTCATTGGAGGTTTTAGAGGTTAACACGTAATTGCTTTGAACCTCAATATAGTCGGTCTATACTGCAGACACTAAAACAATAGATTTTGATTAATGAAAAATCATGGGCTTACACAGAGTAGCAACCCAAATCTGAGTCAGATATATTACATATGACCTCAAGGTCTGATAGCTGTAACACCCAAACCTAAGTCAGATATTTGACCTCAAGCTCCTGTTTGCCAAACTGTGGAACAGATGCAGACACCAAACTCTTTTTCTGTTCCAAAAATGGTTTCAGTATGAAATTTTGCATGTCCAAAGAAAAAAATTTGCATGTCCAAAGTAAAACTTTTGCATGTCCAAAGTAAAAAATTTGCATGTCCAAAGTAAAAATTCTGCATGTCCAAAGTGAAAATTCTGCATGTCCAACGCATACAGAACAACACGGAATTTTGTATCATACCCATACTTAAAAGCACCAGTTAATTACCTAAGTGACAACTGTACCAGGAAATTTCATTCAGCTTTGACTATTTTATCCAAATTTGAATTAACATAAAATATGATTCTGTAACTTGTGAAGCAAAACTTTGTACCAAAAAGGAGCAATCCTGAAACCATCTTAACATTGATACCAGAAATTCATACTGCATGTATATGTACATTGATCTCAAAGTGAAAAACACAATTCTCAAAATACCTTTATACATTGTATATCCAAATTTTATCTTGAAGAAATGGTGTTGATTAATATAAACAATAATTAGTTAACTCACCTGAGAGCCACATTGGGTGAGCATATCGTATGGGGACATGCATACAGTCAATGAAACAAGGCTTAGCCTTAATGGCTACACAGCTATATAGTCCACTAGGAGTTAAAGTTGGATTATACTGAATCTGAACTTTCCTTGACGGTTGTTAACCTAAGGTTGTGGCCCTCAATGCACTAGATACGTGTATATATACCTGGACCCATCTGTACACTAACCACAGACTGCCAGCCACGCTGAAATCAATTTACAATGCTCTTTATATGCTGTGTTTCTTCCTTTAGAAAGAACATCATCCTTTTCAGCGAATCGTTTTAATAATTCAAATAATCCAATATGCGTACATGTACTATTTGTTGCGAGGCTCACTAAAGGGGATCAACTGGAAATCAATCATTGATTTTAATCCTAAAGGTAGCTATGATAGAAATAAAAGGCTCCCCTTGTCCTAGAATCCCCCCCCTACCCACCCACCCACCCATTAAAAAAGGGCTGCATATTTTTATATAAATCTTATATCAAGTATTCTTTACAATAATTTATTTATATCCCAAAGTTAAAGACCCAAATCATCATTTTGTCAAAACCTGTAGCTATTGAAGCCATAAGAGTGATGTTTTTATGGAGTTAGGATCATCAAGGTGTATTGGGAATGAGGTGAACTTCCGGTGGTTTAGTCAGGTACATTGTATATCCAGTAACTGACACAACATCGTGTATTCCCGGGCCTTAAACATGGTCTGAATACACAGCTAGAAACTGTTTGGGTAAACACACAGCTAATAATGTGTGTCTTAATCCCAGTCAGACACAAGCCAAGGGTGATACATAAATATTTAACCAGATCTGCTTGAAACCACATGTGATGAAGGGGTTCTAGATGTAATTCAAATATAAACTTACTATACGTAGATGTATATCATGTATACCTGATGAGTTCATCATTTTTCGAAATCAGTAAACTTCATTTCAAAATTTGAAAATTAAATTTTATTTATATAAACTTGGTGTAAGGTTGATTTGTTCCATCTAGACCAATCACGCCTTGGTGATCTTGAGTTTATGAATCTGACTCAAAATTTATTTAACCAAATTAATTAACAGGACCTGAGCTCAAACAATCATACGTCAGTTTATGTTAATTTTCATCCAGGACAATCCTTTTTGTGATGCTAATATTATATGCAATGAGAGTTAACTTTATCACCCCTACATATTTGAATTGGACTTGCTCAGTCTTTGATTTGGTAAGTTTCAAATGAGATTTTAGGGGTCAATGGGTTAAAGTCATTGCTTCCACTGTGAATCAAACCAGCAACCCCTATATAGCTTCCCTGTAGTCTATATTCCCTGTAGTCTAGATCTGCTGCTCTGTCAATAAAGGGAAATTCCCAATAGTGAAAAGCTATAGAAAGTGACCGCATGACCATATACATTATTTAAAACCTGTCACTTAAGAACTATAGTAATACCGTCAGTTTTCAGTCCATTCAGTACAATAGATCTATAATTCTCCATGTGACAATACATTAAGTCATGGTTTAGTTACGTAGCCCAGTCTTTAAAACTGTGTTTTGTAGCTGCTGGAACCTATTGATTGTGTATAATAAAAACTAGAAAAAAGGTGAACAGGTTCCTAATATTTCAGTGCTATTTTCACATTACGGGAACATGACGTCATTTCAGGGGCGTTATATGTAGCTAGCAATTTTTTTGGGAGGAAGTGGATTCATTTCAGGAGCGGCTCCAGAGCTCAGAGGGCCTTGTTAGGGGGGACATGTGGGTACAGCAAAATTGAAAATTGGTGGATTCACCTGTATGTAATTACCTGAGCATATATATATGCAGCTATGCATCTGCATTTAAGTTATTTTGTCTGCCAATTGTTGTTTAGTTCAAGATTTTGGGAAACAAATTGAATCTATAAAGCAAAAGGTAATCATGAATACTTATGTATCATGTATTATAACCTGTTAGAAATTCCTGAATAGATTATGGTAAAAAAAAAACGCAAATCTATGGCCCTGTTTTATGCACCAAACCAAATAAATACTATCTCACATTTATAATAATGAATTCTTTTTTATTCTTATTCAAATTATTTCAGCTTGTTTAGAAGATGCTCAAAGAAAAAGATTAACAGGTTGGAAAGCCAGACAAAGTTGATGCAACCAGCTAGTTCTATTTGATCTATATTGCCCTCAATACTTTGTATTTTAGTCAATTTCTGCATAATATATGAAACAGATATAACAAGCTAAGTGTCTTTGGCAGTCTGAAGTTTCTTATAGGTGCAGTAAATGCAAACATGCATGTAATTGGCCAAACCGAACTTTAAAATATCACTCAAATTAAGCAATTACACCTGTATTTTCTGAGCATGTGTACATGTACAAGTGCAATCTAAACAAACATTAGGTACAACCTATATATATATACACAAACAAGGTATACATATACGATCGACACCACCTGTAGCCACTACAATCATTATCATTAAAACTCACAAAAATCACCACTCCTCAACTCTCTCGGCACTATATTCTAAAGACCGCTTGAATAGAATGTCTGTTATTCTAAAGTGTTACAGACCATAGGTACGTACACAGTGTATATAAACAAACACAGATTTGTACAGGATAACTGGTTTCTAATTGTTGTTATGGGGTAGTTCAAAGGCTTTCAGACGTATTATACGTAACAATTAAAACACGTTTCAATCTTGTATTTATTTAGGTCACCATGTTATTAAGTTTTGTCCCCACATAGATTTATTATCATATTATAATACATTTAATAGTTTTCAACAAAATACATTTAAACATTACAAACAAAATATCTATTCTGTACAGGTATTTCGAACCAAATTTAAAAAAATGAAAATGAAAATGAAACTGATATGCAATCAAATGAAATATAAGCAAGTGTACATGACTGGGTTCACTTAAACATCGACTGTGTAATATTTTGAGCGATTCACTTCACGGAAGTCTTGAGTGATGGTTTGGGTCTATGATAAACTGGACACAACGGGTTATAAAGCTAGGTCACCCTGATGTTCCAGTCAGACATCCCGGGTGAGTCCCCTGGAGCAGGCACCTCACCCCTGGGATGTCAGATGTATCATATACAGCCAAACTTAGATGTTTCGGAACTTTACGGAACCTGATCTTGAAAAATTCAGAACGTCGAGACTTCGACTTAAGAATGTTCAACTTCTTGGAGATCCTGTATATACTGCATAAGACCGACTGTAATTGTTAAGTGAAGGAACACAAGGCAAGATATTCAATTTTGAATATATAAATATTGGATTTAACGTAATAAGAAAAATAGGTTTCATATACTTATACAGAGTAGTTTGCATGTTTAGATGTTTAAATGACCCAGGGACATCTGAATGTTCTCATACAGGTACATTGTAGTTGTTTAATTTTGAAATATTAGTTCTAATTTTCAACATTTACCTAATGATCAGACCTTGATTGCAATTCGAAACAGCAAGAAATTTGAC